ATCCAGACTTTGCTTCCATGGGCAGAGTGGGGAAGGCTCCTCTTTCTGATTCCTCCTTCCTGCAACACCCAGCAATACCTCTCACATTATTCTAGAGGGTTGGGAGGGTCCTCTAGAAAAGTGTGGGATTACAGGAGGAGAGGGGAAATCCATTAACTGGATGAAAGGTCATCTGTGCATTAAATGAACCTCTCTGTGGAAGGAGAAGTCTGGATCCAGTCCTAAGTGCACTTAGTTGCTCAAGCAGGTCAGCTCCTTCCCTCTTCCCCATTGTCCATTTTTTATACTGACAACTTCTAATATTCCATGGTTCTTCAGCCATAGACTGTCCAGAGCTGGCAGCATCTCCCTGTGGTAGAAATTTGTGCTTCATTTTCTGCGTCTAATAGTCCATTTATACCATTCTACCAAGAGCTAAATTGTGACTAAGGAAATTGCTGAGGAAATGTATTTCTGACTCTTTTCAAAATATTTCGGTTATGCATTGTTCCCTCGCTGTGTTCTTTCATTTCCCTCATGTTGGCACTAAAATACTCATAACAATGTTCACAAAAACTCTTCAGAGTGTTCTTTGCAGCACTGGGAACATCACAAATGTAACAAGCCAACCTATGGTAATTAAAGCTTCCCCCCACCCCGCCGTAGGCTCAAGGTTTTCTGTGCATAGAATCTGGTTCTTTTTTAAAAAGCAACCTTTATTGGAGAGTTGGGGGAGAGAGTTCATTAGTAAAATATGAGATGTGATAGCCCTTAGTGCATCAAAGCAAACTGTAATAATATTTTTAGTTCTCAGGGTAACAGTTATTCACTGATCATCATCATCATCATCGTAATAATAATAATAATAATAATAATAATAATAATAATAAATAAATAAATCTGGCTAGGTTTCCCCAGCCACTCTGGGCGGCTCCCAGCAAAGATTAAAAATACATTAAAATGTTGCTGTTGCAAGTGCATGGAAAGCAAATGCAGTTATTTAAATTATATGGTGGCTATATATCAGCTAACACATCTGTAAACAGGAATCTCCTTAGTTAGCATGGACCTTTTAAAATCCAGTGTCTAGGGTCACCTCCCCCAATCTTCAGTTAACACCAGCCCTGTTACGTTGTTAGACAGTTTTATGTGTGTGTGATTGTAACACTTGTGATATTTCTAACCGGAAAGAGAGATAGCAATAGACTTGATGGGAGCAATGATAGTATGGTGCAAGGAAAGGAGTGTGCTGTGAATCTTCTGGGGTTGAGAATATTCATTGGGACACATGGAGAAACCCCCTTCAGAGCTTCATCCTTAACATACAGGGTCTGAAACAAGTCAGTGGACTGATGTTTCATGGCTTGCTTGTGAGCACTAATCAGAGCATAAACAGAGAGGGTAGCACTGTTTCCGGAGATCTTGGATATGCTGAAAGGGATATGCTGAAACAGCACATTTGCTTTCCTTTGAATGTCCTTGAATTTGCCCTGTCCTGACCACAGTTGGGCACCCTGTGTGGTATGCCTGAGTGTTTCAGGTTGGTATTTGAGAAGGGGTCTGACTGGAATTGCAGGACCTTGGACAGCTCCAAGCATAGAACTTGATGGAGAATCTCAAAAGGGTAGTCCTTTGACCTAGAGCCTTGTCTTCTGTTATCTCTTAGTCTGTATTTATGAGTGTGGAGGCCATAGTGTAAAGGAGGCTCATTCCTCAGAGGAATCTGGCTCAGAGGGTATTATATCTGAGTGTCCGACTTGTGGGATTTGGCTCAAAGGGACTGTTGGTCTTTCTGATCCAACTGGTGGCAGTGCCTTGCTATGACTTGCTTGCAAAACATTTTGAGGACAAAATTGCTATCATCCACCAGAACTTCAACTCCATTATTACAGCAGATGAATTTCAAAAGGCACCCACAGCACTGTCTATGTCTGCGATGTTGGATGAGTTTCAGTTAGTAAGGCTTTAGGGCATGGACAAGGACATTGGTTCTGTTCAGTTGCACTCTTTACTCTCATGGGTGATAAAAAACTATCAAGGAAGGGACAGCTCTCTGGGCTAGAAGGTGATTAATGCTTCCTGTCTAGAAACTCCTTAAGATCAGGATCTGGAACATCTAAATACTTATTAATCAGTTGCTAAAGTTTCCTTCTTGGGCAAGGTTCTTGAAGATAGAATTGTGGGCTAGTTCCAGGCTCTCTTGGATGAAAACTGATTTTCTAGATCCACTTCATTCAGGGATTACAACTGGTTTTGCCACAGGAACTGGCTTGGTCCCCCTGTATGGTGACCTTTGTCTGGAGAAAGGAACAGAGGAGTGTGTGACTGGCTTTCAATACTATGGTATTGTTCTGGATTGGCTTCCCACATTGGGAGTGAGAAAGCAGTGGCTCCTTTCCTTCTTAGTTGACCATCTTTAGTGGGTGGTGCTTGAGGAGTGTTACCCAGCTTCATGGATCCTTCAATGTGGGGTGCAGTAGAGTTCAATTTTATCTTGTATGGTGTTTAACATGTATTTGAGGCCTTCTCTGTGGTAGCTCCTCATCTATGGAATACTTTCTCCAAGGAGGCATGCCTGGCACCATCATTATCTGCTTTTAGGTGCCAAGCAAAAACATTCATGTTCTCCAAGGCTTTGGGATCTTAATAGCCTACTTATATTTTAGAGTTTAATCTGCTTTTTTCTATAAATTAGTGGTTTATTTTAGGTTGTTCTAGGCTTGTTATCAGACTTGTTTTCAAATACTTTTTGTAAGTATTTGAGTTCTTTTCTCTGAAAAAAAACAAAATAGAAATATGTATAATACAATACAGTATAACATACGACTGTACGCCCAGCTTGTCCGGAGTTTTGGGCTGGTTTGCCATCAGTATGCCGATGACACCCAACTCTATCTGTTGATGGATGGCCATCCTGACTCGGCCCCAGACACACTGACCAGATGTCTGGAAGCTGTGGCTGGATGGTTACGTGGGAGCCGGTTGAAGTTAAATCCTTTGAAGACAGAGGTCCTCTGGCTGGGACGGGGTGATATGGGATTGAGGGGGCAACTCCCATCTCTTGCGGGGGTGTAATTAGTGCCAGCATCGTCCGTTAAGAGTTTGGGTGTAATCTTCAATACCTCCCTCTCTATGGAGGCGCAGATTACAGCTATAACAAAGAACATTTTTTCATCTCCGCCAAGCTAAGCAGTTGGCTCCTTATCTCTCTCGCCCTGACCTAGCCACTGTGATCCACACGACGGTCGCCTCCAGACTGGATTATTGTAACTCGCTATATGTGGGGCTGCCCTTGAGACTGACCCAGAAACTCCAGCGGGTGCAGAATGCCGCGGCGAGACTCCTTATGGGGTCTTCGCTGCGAGATCACATTCATCCGGTACTATACCAGCTGCACTGGCTCCCGGTGGAGTACAGGATCAGGTTTAAGGTGCTGGTTTTAACCTTTAAAGCCCTATACGGCCTAGGACCCTCATACCTACGGGACCGCCTCTCCTGGTATGTCCCACAGAAGAATTTACGGTCTGCAGATAAAAACATCCTGAAGATCCCAGGCCACAGAGAGGTTAGGCTGGCCTCAACTAGAGCCAGGGCTTTCTCGGCCGCGGCTCCAATCTGGTGGAACGCTCTGTCACAAGAGACTAGGGCCCTGCGGGACCTGACATCTTTCCACAAGGCCTGTAAGACAGAGCTGTTCCACCAGGCCTTTGGTCAGGGCGCAGCCTGACCCCCTCCTCTGGCAATCTGCACAGAATTTTGCTTAATGGTTGCCATCAATTTGATTTTAATTAATTTTTATAATGAAAGGTTTTTAGAATTGGATTATTTTGATTGTTGTTAGCCGCCCTGAGCCCAGCTTCGGCTGGGGAGGGCGGGGTATAAATAAAATTATTATTATTATTATTATTATTATTATTATTATTATAGTAACCATCCTGTTTATGTGAATGTAGATAATAGATTAACAAGCACACGGGCTATAGCCATAAAGAATGCAGGAGTGCAGTTTATTTCCTATTTGTACCAATCTAGAATTATCGAATTGTAGAAGAAAGCTGCCTAGTGGAACATGATCTCTATTATGTTTTAAAGCTCTCACCAAATTTGATTTGTTTTGATTGTGTTAAAACTGAAACACACAAAGGAGCTTCTTTAAGACCAGACAGATCAGTTAGGACTCAATCCTATACACACGTTTTGGAGAAAGTCCTGTCAAGTTCAGTGAGACTGGCTTACTAGGCATGCAGGTAGTATGTGAGAATATACTATTTATGATTATTATTATTATTCTATTATTTTAGTAGGCAATGAACAAAATATAGCACATTTGCTATCAACAAGTATATTGAAAAGTGTTTCTATTCATACAAATCCATGGTATTACTTTTCTTTATGATTATTTGGATCCAAATATTCAAAAATCTTAAGGTGCAAGCCATGTAAATCAAAAGTCTTAAGGTACAAGCCATGTAAGTCAATATCACAAAGATAAACCTACTAGTTCACTTGGTAGATAAAGAGGTACTTATTCTCAGGGTCGTGGGTTCATGTCCCACACTGGATAAAAAATTCCTGCATTGCGGGGGGTTGGACTAGATGACCCTTGGGGTCTCCCCAACTCTACAATTCTATGATTCCATGAACTTCTAAGTAGTTCTACTGACCCCAGCAGGATTACTCTGGGGTAAATCTACAAGATTGTCAACCTCCTAAGTTCAGCAGCTGTACTCAGAGAAAGCTACAGGAATGGGATGTTCTTTCTTTGAGCTGCCATGAAATGCATTTGAAAATAAGATTGTTTATGGAATGAGATGGGACTGTCTCACTCACGGGAGCCAGCTGAGAGCTTCCCATCGTTTGTTACATGCTGTGCATAATCAACATTTGGCTTAACTTTCCAAGAATGATAAAATTTCATATGCTGCTACATGACATGTGAATTATTATTATTATTTTTTACATATATTCATACCACCGACTTTCCTGTAAGTTAATCTCATCTCTCATCAATTTTTCACCAGCTTCACTCTGATGTTGATAAAGGAGATGGCTCCATCAAATACATCTTGTCAGGAGAAGGGGCAAGTTCCATTTTCATTATTGATGAGAACACGGGGGATATTCATGCTACAAAGAGGCTTGATCGGGAGGAACAAGCCTACTACACCCTCCGAGCACAAGCACTAGATAGACTGACAAGTAAACCCGTGGAACCAGAGTCAGAATTCGTCATTAAGATTCAGGACATCAATGACAATGAACCTAAATTTCTGGATGGCCCTTACACTGCTGGCGTGCCTGAAATGTCTCCTGTGGGTAAGTACTTGCAGTTGAAAACCAATTCTTGTTTTTCTTTTCATTATTTGCTTTTTCAATATTTTCTTTCTTCCTATTGCTTATTGCTTTATCACACTACTGTGTTGTCTGTGACTTACTTCTCTTGAGTAAAAGCCAAGCTTGAACCCACCCCTGAAATCTGCTAATCCATGACATGCAACACTTAAAGTTTCTAGATGAATATTTCAAGAATAAGGGAGGGAGCGCATCTGTGAAACTATTTTCTGAAACAGATAAAAGGTATCATGCATTCAATTGGCAACCGAAATAATCAGGTGACTGAAGAAACTAAAATATGGTTTTGTAGAACTGGAACAGGTTTCAGTGATTGGGGCTGTTTAGTTTAGAAACAATAAACTATGTGAGGGATGGAACAGGATGGAGGTGTATGAAATCAAACATGTTGTGTAGAAAATGCACATATAAATGTTTTTCTTCCATTTATAACGCTAGAATGAGGAGTCATCTAATCATTGAATGTTGAACTATTCGGAATAGACAAAAGAAAGTGCTGCACAACACAGTGCCTCTTAAACTGTGGAATTCTCCTCCATAAGATGTAGTGATGGCCACCAAAGGAGATTAGGCAAATTCAGATTCAAAGAGGATGGGATAGGACTAAACAGGTAGTGATGGCTATATGCCACCTTCAGGATCAGTGGTAGCATTCCTTTGTACAGTATACCAGTCAGTGGAAAACAGAAGGGGGCTCTTGCCTTTATGTCTGGGCTACTCACGGGCAACTGGTTGGCCTTCGTGAGAAACTGGATACTGAGCAAGGGAGATATTAGTTCTGAACCATATGTACCATATGTTCTTAAGGGACATTTTTGAAGATTAATTTGAAGTGCTTTAAAAACGTTAATTTGATGTTGCACCCTAAGTGGTCCTTCAATGGCCTCATCAGGAGAAGTCCCTAGGTACCAATCCATGATTGTCCACACGTCTCTCCTTCACCTTAAAGAAGCAAATAAAACAGCCTGTTGAAATGTAGTAATTTGGTATTGTCACTGATTGCTAAATATTGAAAGAGTTAGTCATTATTAATATCATTGTTGTCAGTCAATATGAGCTTGGGTTTTTAGGTACTACTTGTGTATTTGGCTATTGTTCCTTCTCAGGAATAGGAAGAAGATATCATCAGTTTCTGATAAGTATTCCATGTTCAGTCTCAACAGACTATTATCTGGGTGTTTCATTTTTCCCTTGTAGAGTAACTGGTGTCTATCTTGTCCATTGAGTTTGATATACACTCTCTCTCACACAGTTCTAAATGTGTTAGTTCTCTCACTGAATTGTGCTGGTTATAAAAACATAATTTCTTTCACTTTAATAACCTTAAGATACCATTTCCCCCCCTGGATCAGGTCACTTTAGAAAGACATTCATCTCTAGAGTTTGGGCAGGTATTCTACCTGTTACTAATTAAGCTAGTCTCTATATCAGGGGTAGTCAACCTTTTTATACCTACCACCCACTAATGCATTTTTCTTGATGGTAAAATTTCCTTACCGCCCACCAGTGCTGCAGTAACATGTAGCGTAGAACCCCCTACTGCCCACCTGGAATCCTGAAATGCCCACTAGTGGGCAGTAGGGACCAGGGTGACCACCCTTGCTCTATACAGTAGCTATCAGTGTGTTGAACTGTAGCTTAAAATAACAATATGTGGGCTGTTCTGTGTCAATATTTTCTTTGCAGTCTATACTGCTCTAACTGCCTCCCTTTTTGCTTCAAGATAGTGGTGGCTTTTGGTAATATGGTTAAAAATGTCTGGAATGATGGGAATTCTTCTGCTGTAAATTGAGTTGCATTGTCAGTCATGAGTTCATGTGGCGAGCCCAAGTCAACAAAGGTATTGCTCAGCTGTGCAGCAAGCCTATAGCATGCAAGAGTAGGCAAATGAGTATATTGATACCCCTAGAATAGTAGCCCACAATAACCAGATAATATCACCTTCCCAGGTCAGTTGTGAGCCCCAAATGCATAAAAGTCCATTGCTTTGTGTTGATCAAGTTCTTTAGCAGTCACAGGGTAGAGTTTTGTTATTTACGTCATATCAAATTCCAGTCTACCATACTGTATTCTTGGCCCCTTTACAACATTTGGTTAGACCCTGATATCCTTGTTGGATGAGGTCTACGAACTTCTCCTTGTATATCATGGTGCAACAATATAGGGTTTTTTTTGCTTTTGCTTACTTGCTTGTTTGTTTTGCTCTTAGGCCTTTCAGTTCACTCAGTTGCAGACAGACAGAAGAGTACTTCCTAGCATACTCTTCAGATCGTTTCTCTTCAGATCGTATAAATCTTTCCCCTTTTTGAAGAGTACTTCCTAGTAATCTCTGAGGTATTGCTAAGGTATTCAGGTCCCCCTGATCTAATATAGTGTAGGATTTATCCATGAGTAGATGTCTACATCTGACAAGCCTGTTTTAGAATGCTGATAGAGAAGTACACATAGTATGTGCCTTGACTTCTCTCTTTCACTTGCAAGTCCCTGTTTGCACTGTGGGCTTCATAATAATGCATCTGCTATGGATGCCTGTTTTTGTCTTCTAACGTACTTGTCTACTGAATTGAATCTCATCATTGTTAGTAGAAGATGCTGGCCTAGTAATGTACTTGAACCAAACATTTTTCTTAAATCAAGGTCACCAAGGGTTTATAGTCTGTGAAGAGTCTGAACGAAAGTAGATCACATAGGCATCTATAAAAGCTTTACAGTGCCCAAACACTAGCGAAACATTCTCTCTTTTCACCCCCTTCAAATTTGTGCATAGCATTTTTCTGCTTCAGTAAGAGGTTAGGTAAGCGGTCTGGAACAGAATGCAGTGATCTTGCATTCTGAACTAGGCAGATGCGGTGGCATCACACCTTATTCAAAACTCCTTGCAAGAAGAAGAAGAAGAAGAAGAAGAAGAACTTGTTGGCATCACAAAAAGTATAAGATTGGCTATCAGAAGTTGTGTGCCCTTTATATTTGTAAAGGTAGCCTCCTGAACTATCTCCCAAGCCTGGTCATTGTGGATTTCAGTAAAAGGTTTAGTGGCTGTGCTTCTTTGTGCCTCTTTGAAGACGTCTTTTGAATATTTATTGATTTTAGTTAGAAGAATTTATAAAGCACTCAGTCAGAGAGTCCCTATGTGGTGAACCTAAAGCATAGAATAGAATAGAATCATAGAATCCTGGAGTTGGAAGAGACCACAAGGGCCATCGAGTCCAACCCCCTGCCAAGCAGGAAACACCATCAGAGCACTCCTGACATATGGTTGTCAAGCCTCTGCTTAAAGACCTCCAAGGAAGGAGACTCCACCACACTCCTTGGCAGCAAATTCCACTGTCGAACAGCTCTTACTGTCAGGAAGTTCTTCCTAATGTTTAGGTGGAATCTTCTTTCTTGTAGTTTGGATCCATTGCTCCGTGTCCGCTTCTCTGGAGCAGCAGAAAACAACCTTTCTCCCTCCTCTATGTGACATCCTTTTATATATTTGAACATGGCTATCATATCACGCCTTAACCTCCTCTTCTCCAGGCTAAACATGCCCAGCTCCCTTAGCCGTTCCTCATAAGGCATCGTTTCCAGGCCTTTGACCATTTTGGTTGCCCTCCTCTGGACACGTTCCAGTTTGTCAGTGTCCTTCTTGAACTGTGGTGCCCAGAACTGGACACAGTACTCCAAGTGAGGTCTGACCAGAGCAGAATACAGTGGCACTATTACTTCCCTTGATCTAGATGCTATACTCCTATTGATGCAGCCCAGAATTGCATTGGCTTTTTAGCTGCCGCGTCACACTGTTGGCTCATGTCAAGTTTGTGGTCAACCAAGACTCCTAGATCCTTTTCACATGTACTGCTCTCAATCCAGGTGTCACCCATCTTGTATTTGTGCCTCTCATTTTTTTTGCCCAAGTGCAATACTTTACATTTCTCCCTGTTAAAATTCATCTTGTTTGTTTTTGCCCAGTTCTCTAATCTGTCAAGGTCGTTTTGAAGTGTGATCCTGTCCTCTGGGATTACAAATAAAACCAATAATGTTTAGAAACAGCTATATGTAACTTGTTAACATGTCCAGGTAAGCTTGATGTTTGTTTGTTTTTTAAGCTCTTGCATTAAGCAGGACAATGAAGATGTTCAGCAGTGTCAGAAAGCATCTTGGTTCTGTAATGTTAGTCAGTGCTTACAACTCTCTGGACAATGTCCTTTTCTAGGCCTGTCCTTGTCCCATATTGTGTGATTACTTGACCCAAGAACTGCATTTCAACTTTGCATCAATTAGTTTGGTCCAGATTCAAGGAGACTGTTCCATAAGATGACCAGAATTTTGTCATAGTCTTCCATTGATGTATTAGGATGTGTATTAGGATCTTGTCCACTAATACCACAGCTCCTTTTGTGTTTCTAAGGAGCCTTGTCATCTTTCTTTGAAAAATCCTGGGAGAACTTGTGATTCCAAATGACAGACATTGAAAACAATATCCCAAAGGACATGATAAATTTAGTCAGTTCACCACTCAGTTTTGTCAAAGGTGTTTGCCAGAAACTGCTGGAGGCATCCAATTTGGAAACTACTTTGGCTCCTGTCACTTTGGGGAAAAGGTCATCTAGCATTGGGAGTACATATTTTTCTCTGACTACAGCTTCATTAAGTTTTTAAAGATCTAGACAGGTGTGCGTTTTCCCATTTTTCTTGATGACAGGGAGCATTGGTTCATACCGTGAGGTGAGCTCAGTCATTTGCTTAAGTGTGCTCCTTTCTTTTATCCTTCCTAGCACCATTTCTACATTGTGATATAGTTGAATAGATATTCTGTGGCTGTTCGTACGTAGTATTGTTTGGCCACAGATCTTAAAGCAGAGTCCACAATGTCTCATTTTCTTAGGCAGTTGTTGTCAAACAGTCCTATTTCTCCCACAACTTTTAGTAGCCCCATTTAGGCAGCTATTTCATGACTGGGGATTGTATGGCAGACAGAAACGGCTCATCCGTGTAGCTTGTTAGTGTAGTAGAGCATCCAAAAGCTTGTATATATTCCTTGGGCTGTGTAAAACAATTGCTGCCTTTTGCACATCTGTGAGTGCTCTGGAATTTTGCATAGGCCTTCTCTGAAATAAGTGTAAGATAAGCTCCTAGATGTATTTTGAAATTAATAGCATTTTGACTGGTAGTTAAGTTTATTTTCCAAGGAGGGTCAGTGTCCTTACACAACATATACTTTAAGAAAAAATGCCTGTAGACCACTGTGGTGAGTTGTTGCACTACCTGAATACAACAGGTCTCTGGATGATGTCCTTCTCTAGGCCTATAACGATAGTAAAATGTCCTGTCTTCAAATACTTTCTGCACTATGCTCCTCTAGCTTGACTTTTGTAATTGGTTTTTGTGAATTGCATAGAGAATTTTGATCAATGGGTTGTCTAGAAATGGCATTAAATCAATAAATATGGCTTTGTAAAGAGTTACATCCTCTTACAGTTGCATACTTTCAGAAAGCACTTGGTCTATAATTCCAAACACCAATTTGTCTTTAGAATCTTCAAGCTCACTGTGTTCATCCTGTTAATTCATGATATTTATGGCCCTCCTCAGCAAAGGTAAAGGATTTAAAAACATTGTTAGCTCCCCACACCTGTACCATAAAGGAATGAGCACAATTCCTTTCTCTCTGGAGCTTTTTTGGTCAGGCAAAGGTAAACAAATTTGACTCTTTTCTTCAGGATTCTCTAAACTGGAACCTTCTGGTCCAGGAACTGTGCCTAGAGTTGGGTGAATCTCTCATCTTTTCAGTCCTAAGTTCAGTTCTCCACATTTTTATATGAAAATCAGCATTTTTGTGTGAATTTATTCTAATGCACACATTTTTCTTTGCAGTTTTGTTCATTATTCATTTTTGCAAAGCAATTTTCCCTAATATAATGCCTTTCTGTATATCATGTTCACTAATATATGCATTTTTGTACACATTGCTTGTCTGGAGGATACCACTAAAAATACAGAGAAGTGTAAATTTGGGAAGGTGGCTGTTTTGTGTTCTTTCAAAATGTACAAATTATGTAAGTTTGCCTTTCAGTGTGTGGACTAAATAATAATAATAAAAGTCCCCTCCATAATGGTGACACTGTTTGTTGTATTTGGAATATGCGAGATCTGACACCAAGTCATGGAAAAATCAGGACACCAGTCAGTCTCCACGAAGAACAGAACAGTAGCAGGAATCTCATGGCTCCACATAGATACAACTATGTCTGGTCCTATCAAATGATTAATGCAATCTAAAGCCCCTACTCTACCCATGTGGCTTTGCCGAGTGGTAGGGCCACTGCCACATCTGCAATCTTGCAGCACATTGTGGCCATGGTGGAATATGGGGAGGCAGTAAGGCTGCTGTACTAGCCTGGAGCTGGCTTCACAATCAGGCTTGGATCAGGCCCAATGCCATCATGTGGCAAAAGTGAGACTGGCTCAAGATCCAACAAGCCCCAGATTAGCTCAGCCCTTTGCACTTCCTATATCAGGGCCTTCTGCTGACTGCCCATGGCTGGCGTCCCACTACTGTCACTCTCACTCACAGGTTTGGCAGGCAGAGTGACATTTGCATTACACTCTTTGCAGTGGGAGGTCATCTTGGCTAGGAGAGCTGGGTAGAGGGACACCTCATCTCGATCCAAATCCCACCCAACTCAGCTCAAGTGTGGTTTGGATTGCTCTGCTAACTATATAAGGACACCGTCCACACAGAGAAAGACTACTTTATTGTGGCATGAGCTTTCATAACTAAGGTTCTACTTCATTTGATACAGTTTTAGACCTAGATAAAGGTAAAGAGACCCCTGACTGTTAGGTCCAGTCGCAAATGACTCTGGGTTTGTGGCACTCATCTCGCTTTACTGGCCGAGGGAGCCGGCGTACAGCTTCCGGGTCATGTGGCCAGCATGACTAAGCCACTTCTAGTGAACCAGAGCAGCGCACGGAAACGCCATTTACCTTACCGCTGGAGCGGTACCTATTTATCTACTTAAACTTGTTCACAGATGTCATTTGTTTATCTCAAGTCAACAGTCTCTTGGTGTTTTTCAGAATTCAAGAGAATCCAGATTGTATCCAGACTTATTTCCCCTGGCCATACATAAATAGTTTGGCTGTATCTTTGGGTAAATTTATTCCCTTCATTGGTGTCCATCATTAGTTGTACACAGAGCAGAACCATTGAAATGAATGGACATAACTTAGTCATGTCTATTAAATTCAATGAGTCTACTCTGAATGACCAACACTGGGTGCAATCTCTTGTGTTCCTGTAACTGTGTTAGCAAGTAAGTCTTCCAGATTGCAGACTGAGAACGTAAAAATACCACATCAGAACAAACAAACAGTCTCCAGTTGCTGTGCACTGCTCTTGAAATCATTTGTCCCTGTAGCGACGTAAAGGAGAGTGGTTTGAAACATGAGTCAGGGGCAGAGGGGAGACAAGTAAATCACTTTTACTGCAATATGATTTTACTAAAATGTAAGCATAAATATTATTGCTGAGTTGATAGCTGGCTGTTTTCCACAGTCCTTTAACACAATGTCAGTGAAGGAAAAAAGGAGAGTAACCTCTGAAGGAAAGATGGAGATCAGTGTTTCTAGAGGGGAAAAAATCATGAGGGCAAGAAACAGAATTCTTAAAGCTGTTTCCAGCTGCACTCTATTAGAAGGCAAAAACTTGGATAATCCATTACTTTTAAAACCAAATGATCCCCCAACTTTACGAAGGCTATATATTTGAACAAAGAAAACCCCAATGCTGAGATCTCTCTCTGTGTGTGTGTGTCTCTCCAGTGGCCTCTCCTAGGGTTAGGAAAATTTGATAGAAGCACCACACTTTAGGTTGCCTTTGTATTAAATATATATTGTTCTTAAATCTCTGAGATTTTTGTGTGGATTTGTATTCCCCGAGTTCAGCAGGGGGCAGCATAGGAAAGTATCTTGCTCCTTCATCTTACCCCCTGAAGAGGACTGCTCTCCAGCTTTCAAGCCTTTGTTATTTTTCTTCCCTTTTCCTATGCTGATCTTTTTTAACTCAGTGCTTTAATCCCCAAGCCACATTCTCAACAGCAGTGTTTTTGTCGAAACCCAGAAACGTCTCTGAAATAAATATCATGAGGCCTTGAAGGTTTCATTGGGTTCCAAACACCTCCTTTTTTTGCAAGTAAAAAATAAAAAAATGAGGTTAATGACTCCATGACCCTCCATACTGTCTGTCTGTTGCCAACATGATTGGAAGCACCACCATACCTTCTAAGATTCTCTACTTTTCCAACCATGATCATTTTAGGTTTCCTGTGCTGTAGGAGGGCAACTAGCTACAATTCCCAAAGTTCCCTGGGAAGGATTGTTAAAGCACTCTGGGAATTGTAGTTTGGTGAGGAGAATAGTGCTTTCCTAACAACTCTTAGCACATTTAAGAAACTGCACAACCACTGCATAACACTTATAAAGCAGCATCCTGCAATCAGATAGGTGTTTGTTGATCTTCCATTACCATAAGCAAAACTGTGAATAGTTTTGTAAGTACTATACATATTTCAACAAATTTCACATTGTTAGAGGTGTGAAGTAAATTTTTGCTTTGAAGGCTCAAGTAGTGGTTATGAAATAGGAAAAACTTCTATTAAAATGCAGGAAACAAGTGCCTGCCAAAGTCCTAAGACACAAAATTAATGTGACAAGAAATCTATGGATCACCTTACCAAGTAAATTTGCACTTCTTGGTTGCCATACCAAAACATTGGGAACCACTGGACTACACTGGCTGGCAAGGCATCTGTAGGGTTTCAAACAGGAGTCTCCCATTCCTACCTGGAGATGCTAGAGATTAAACCAGTAGTGCAAGGCAGATGTTATACGACTGAACTGAGACCCTTCCATTGATCCAGCTGCCTTGAACCAAAGTGGTATTGTCCAAATGTCCAAGGAAAGCAGGGATGCTTTGCTCTGGTTCCAGATGGATTTTGTGCCCACACTCAAGTCATGCTTGTTAGCTCATTGTAGCTCATGTATTTGAACACAAGTGGAGAAAATATCTGAATAAATGCAACCGAACAGAGATTGTCCGTGTTGTACAGGGCCATTTACAGGCTGGCCCAAAGGGGGTGGTAGAACCAATGGTAGCTCATTTGTTTACAAAGCATTTTGAGGATAAAATCGCTTGCATCCACCAAGATCTTGGCTCTGCTGTTATAGCAGATGAATCTCATTGGGTGTTCAGAGCACAGTCTAGTCCTTCTGTGTTGGATAAGTTTCAGTTGGTAAGGCTCATGGATGTAGACAAGGTGCTTGGATCAGTCAGGGCGACCACCTGCACTCTAGACCCTTACCCCTCTTGGCTGATAAAAACCAGCAAAGAGGGAACAGCTGGCTGGGACAGGGAGGTGATCACTCCTTAAGAAACCTTCCCTGGATTTGGAAAACCTAGCTAACTACTGGCCAGTTGCTAATCTCCCTTTCCTAAGCAAGGTTGTGGAGCGAGTGGTTGCAGACCAGATCCTGGTGCTTTTGGAAGAAACTGATTTTCTGGATCTATTTCAATTGAGGTTATGCCCCGGTTTTGGCACAGAAACTGCTTTGGTCACCCAAAGGGCCTTCTCTGTAACGGCTCCCCATCTGTGGAATGCTCTCCCCAGGGAAGTTTGCCTGGCATCTTCATTATACATCTGTAGGCACCAGGCAAAAATGTTCCTTTTTAACCAGACCTTTGATTGATTTGATTGACATCCTATGCCCTTTTAAAATGTGGGTTTTTTTTGGGGGGGGGGGGTTATTGATTTCTTCTTGTTTTTTTATTATGTATTTTGTAGTTTTATATTTTGATTTTATTCTGTGAACCGCCCTGAGACCTCCGGGTATAGGGCAGTATATTAATAATATTAATAATGTATTTAATAAATGTGGCCCTTTTTGCCCAACAGAGCCAGTGTGGTGTGGTGGTTAAGAGTGGTAGACTCGTAATCTGGTGAACCGGGTTCGCGTCTCCGCTCCTCCACATGCAGCTGCTGGGTGACCTTGGGCTAGTCACACTTCCCTGAAGTCTCTCAGCCCCACTCACATCACAGAGTGTTTGTTGTGGGGGAGGAAGGGAAAGGAGAATGTTAGTCGCTTTGAGACTCCTTCGGGTAGTGATAAAGTGGAATATCAAATCCAAACTCCTCCTCCTCCTCCTCCTCTTCTTCTCTTATTTTCATTGAGGGGAGGGATGAAAGTGCAGTGAGATATGATCTTCTCCTCTTTCTGGGAGTTGTTGACACTCTTTCAAATCAATGAAGGAAGAGGCAGGCCTCAAGCTAGTGCAGTAAAGGTCATGTCTCTTATTCTAGTACAGCACAGATATTTCACTCAGGAATATCCTAAGCATATCTGCTTGAGGCTCAGCTCTTCTTCATTTGTGTTTGTGTGTGTTTGGCTCATTTCCTTGCATTTTCTCCTGCTCTTTGAAATAAATCAATATCTGAGACTGCCTTGTATGTCTGATCCTGTGCCAGTGAATGCTTAAGGCCTTGTGCCCTGTGGCTAACAACCGAACAGGCAATGTACTCTCCGAGCACCAAGGTAATCCTTGCATGATGCTAACCATGGTGTTAAAGGCAGTGGTGTTAAAGGCACATGGTGTTCAGTGCAGACTGAAGATTTTACACATGCAGGAACTGGGCTGGGATGTCCTGTGGAGACAACCAACCATGCCACATTCAAAGTAAGTGTAAAGTAAAAGAAGCTTGACTCCTTCATAAACAATGTTTGAAAGTAAGTGGTAATTAAGCCATTTGGACAAAAGCCCCTATGTAGCTTCTTGTATAATCCTAGCAGATGTCTTTGTTTTGGAGAATGATTAGAACTTGAAATCAGTGGGCTTTTCAGGGAAGATTCATTTAAGCTCTGTGGTGCAGCTAGATGGAAGTTACTTTTATAGATAATTGGAGACACATCCTTTCCCTGATTTATGATGCTAACAGTTTACTATGGTTATATATGGCAGACTACTTTATTAGTTTTGTCGCACATACAAGTTATTCCTTCACAGTGTATATTCTTGTTCAGATGGTAAAACAGAGGGAAATTAATTCCTGTACAAAGGAGCAGCAAAAGGTGTATAAATCACCAGAAAATAAGGTTTAAGTGGGATTATATGTGGTGCATGGGCCTTGTATACTACGGCAAATTAAATCTACTTCAAGCTTCTTGGAATGGTATATTTAAATGCCTTTGGGGTTACCAGTGGAGTAATATTTAATACTGCATTAATATTGGATTAAGGATTTAGTACCATGAACTGCTTGTGTGGCATTTATCTTACATAGTCACATTGATTCATAGTTTATTTATAAGACACGGTTTCTAATTAAACATCTACAGCATTTATGAAATATTAAGGGGAAACAAAGTATCTACCTCCTATTTAGTTTAAAATTATATCCATGGCAAGGATTTTATTAATTAGCCATTGAGCACAGCAAAAATAATTTTCAGCCAAAATAAATAATGAAAGCATGAAAACTACCAATCTTATAGAGATGATTACTAAATTCTCCCCAGTTTTTTTGATCCAGATTATCTGATCTTGTTTGCAGCATGGCAGCAGTGGATTAGCAATCCACTGTTCTTCCATTTAAAAATAAACAATTCTGATCTGTAAAGACTGCTGTGCATGCACAGTTTGCCTGATATTCTTTTTCATCATATGTCTCTCTTTCCCCCTCTCCCCTTCCACATTCCAAGTTCTCAATGTGCCTAAATATCTTTGCAAATTAATTAAATAGTAGACAAAGCTTTCTGGGTTATCTTGGATTGATCACATTTTCTCAACCTAAACTCTACCTCACAGGGTTGATGTGAGAATAAAAGTGGGGGTCACTATGCATGCCCTGAACTCTTTGGAGGAAGGTTGCAGTGATGTATTAGAATATAATAATGTATTTTAAAGAAATGTTGATGGAATGTTATGTATGATTGCATCGCCATATATGTGCACTGTGATGCATTAATCCAAACAGATGCTGGTGTAACCCTGACACCAAAAAAGACAGAAATGAACAGATGGAACTGAAAGCTGTGACAAAATGCATGTATGTTAGTTCTGGAATTAATTTTTGATTTTATCCCATGTAAAATAAGCAACAAGATAGATTGGAATGGGTAGAATGGTGGCCGAATGAGTCTTGACCTTGACTGAATCTGGGTGACCTTTATCAGAAGAAAGAAGTATGGGTATATGTGCCAACCTATCCTTCTTGATTTTTCAGCAGCTTTTGATACCGTTGACTATAGCATCCTCCTGAACTGACTCAGTGAAAGAGATAATGGGCACTGTTTTACAGTGGTTCAAGTCCTATCTCTGGGGTTGGTTTCAGGTAAGATCATCTTTTAGCTCCGTAGCTCTTGTGGCTATTTAACATCTAGTTGCAGCTTTCGTGAACAGTTATTATGAGATTTGGGGTGAGCTGTCATCAGTATACTGTAACATCTGCACATCTCTGTAGCGTCTAAATCAGGAGAGGCCTTGGAAGCCTTGGGCCACTGCCTGGACTTGGTGGTAGGCTGGATGAGGGTCAAGTCTGAATCTAGGCAAGATGAAGGTTCTGTGGGTAAGAGAGTCAGTTGTCTTCTTTGGATGGTGATGTACTCCCCATGTACTCCCAAGAAGCAGCTGGTTTGTACGTTGGGGTGCTCCTGGATCTATCCCTGTCACTAGAACTCCAGGTGACCTTAGTAGCTAGGAGTGCCTGTTGACCAGCTTCAAATGATAAACAGCAATGGTTGTTTATAGGCTAACTACTGTCATCCATGCAATTGAAGGATTGTAATCTTAATATTGGATTACTGCTATTCACATTATATGGGACAGGTCCTAAGGTTGGTCCAAAAGGTGTAGCTCTGGGACAGCAAATTGCTACCATGTTACACCACTGCTGAAAGCATTTCACTGGCTGCCAATTAGCTTCCAGGCTAAATCCAAGGCACTGGGTTAGCTAAAGGATTACCTAAAAGATTGTCTCACCCTTATATACCCACCTGATTACTGTTCTCTGCAGGACAGAGCCTCCCACAGTCATTATCTCACCAGGATGTCCATTCCATAGATTGTCAGAATTTGGCCTTTAGTGTGGCAGTAGCTACCCTTTGGAACTCCTTCCCATGACATAGCAGACAAGCGCCAATTCTATTGTCTTTTGGGGGTCTGTTGAATGCTTTCTTTTCTTTTTAGCAAGCCTTTGAAGTGGAGATTCTTATCCCAGTCTGCACTGATTTTGAAATTATTTTAATAGATGTTTTAAATTGTTAAATCGCCTTGGCATGTTTCACAGAAAGGCATTCATAAAGGAGATAAATAAGACATGCATTATCTACTATCACAAATATACATTTTGTGTAAGCATGGTGATTGGCCATGACATTACTTTTCCATGGTGAAGAATCAGCACTTGGATACAACTAAGAGAAAATTAAGTATGCTTAAGTACCTCTTCACTCAATATGCCAGCAAGTTTGGAAAACTCAGCAGTGGCCAGAGGATTGGAGAAGATCAGTCTACATCCCAATCCCAAAGAAGGGCGGTGCCAGAGAATGCTCCAACTACCAAACAATTGCACTCATTTCACATGCTAGCAAGGTTATGCTTAAAGGCAGGCTTAAGCAGTATGTGGACCGAGAACTCCCAGAAGTGCAAACTGGATTTTGAAGGGGCAGAGGAACCAGAGACCAAATTGCAAACATGCGCTGGATTATAAAGAAAGCTAGAGAGATCCAGAGAAATATTTACTTCTGCTTCATTGACTATGCAAAAGCCTTTGACTGTGTCGACCACAGCAAACTATGGCAAGTTCTTAAAGAAATGGGAGTGCCTGATCACCTCATCTGTCTCCTGAGAAATCTCTATGTGGGACAAGAAGCTACAGTTAGAACTGGATATAGAACAACTGATTGGTTCAAAATTGGGAAAGGAGTACAACAAGGCTGTATATTGTCTCCCTGCTTATTTAACTTATATGCAGAATTCATCATGAGAAAGGCTGGGCTGGATGAATCCCAAGCTGGAATTAAGATCGCTGGAAGAAATATTAACAACCTCAGATATGCAGATGACAAAACCTTGATGGCAGAAAGTAAGGAGGAATTAAAGAACCTTTTAATGAGGATGAAAGAGGAGAGCGCAAAATATAGTCTGAAGCTCAACATCAAAAAAACGAAGATTATGGCCACTGGTCCCATCAACTCCTGGCAAATAGAAGGGGAAGAAATGGATGCAGTGAGAGATTTTACTTTCTTGGGCTCCATGATCACTGCAGATGGTGACAGCAGTCACAAAATTAAAAGATGCCTGCTTCTTGGGAGAAAAGCAATGACAAACCTAGATAGCATCTTAAAAAGCAGAGACATCAGCTTGCCAACAAAGGTCCGTATAGTTAAAGCTATGCTTTTCCCAGTAGTGATGTATGGAAGTGAGAGCTGGACCATAAAGAAGTCTGATCGCCGAAGAATTGATGCTGGAGGAGACTCTTGAGAGTCCCATGGACGCAAGAAGATCAAACCTATCCATTCTTAAGGAAATCAGTCCTGAGTGCTCACTGTAAGGACAGATACTGAAGCTGAGGCTCCAATACTTTGGCCACCTCATGAGAAGAGAAGACTCCCTGGAAAAGACCATGATGTTGGGAAAGATTGAGGGCACAAGGAGAAGGGGACAACAGAGGACGAGATGGTTGGACAGTGTTCTTGAAGCTATGAACATGAGTTTGACCAAACTGTGGGAGGCAGTGGAAGACAGGAGTGCCTGGCGTGCTCTGGGTCCATGGGGTCACGAAGAGTCGGACACAACTAAATCACTAAACAACAACAAGTACTGCTTCAGTTATTAAAATGACAAACAGCCATGACTAACTGTGGCTTCCCAAACTTAACTGTACGTAACTTGGAGGCTGACCCATTACGGCAAACAAGACACTTTCCCACCAACTTAAGTCTGCTGTTAGCCAGCCCCCAGCTGTCTGCCTTCCTGCATAACAGCCAGTTTAGTGGGGTGGAAGTGTCTGTCAGCTTCCAGTTCCTTTGTCTTGGTGTTATCCATTTACAATTCAGCATGGAAGACAATAGGGATAAAAGTAGAATTATTTGGCTCTGCCTCTAATTGGCTCTTATTCTTCGTGTCACTAGCTCTGGCTCCACCTACTGCTGGCCTTCTTGCTTTTGACCCTACCACTTTCAATGTGCAACTGTCATATGTGACAGTTTATCCCTGTGTATAAGCGATTTCTGTACAAAAAAAAAATGTTTGATGACTGCCTCACCTTCAGTAAATTTGTATGTTGGTTTCTGTATGTGTGGATAACATGCTGAAGATCACTTCTTATTCTGTGCTCCACTGAAGTGATATGTCAACTACAAGTTTTTAAATAGAACCAAACCACTTCATGCATGTGATAAGTTCATGCTTCTGAACCATGTAAAAATACTGAGGGGTGGGGAGTAAAAATATAAGATTCTACCTTCTTCTTTTCTACAATGCCAAAAAAGGATGGTGAGCCACATCCCAGGGTTTTTTAAAATAATAATAATAATAATAATAATAATAATAATAATGCAGAATAGGTTGTTGACAGCACAATCATATGCATATTGACACAGAAATAAGCCTCATTGAGTTCAGTGGAATTCAGTGGTAAGTGTTTATAGGATTGCAGTCTTAGCTCTTTAGGTGATAAGCTCACATGACCTGCTCAGTTAAAGACATATAAAGGGTGCATAGTTTGTGCCAATTCTCACGTTATGCAAATTGTGACTTTGCAACACTTTGAAAAAAATAAAAATCAGTGGTACTTTTCCAGGAAAAGTTATGCGTCAGTGATGGTGCTTCTCTGAAGGAGAGGGAGGGATGTATCTGGCCCACATCTGTGCAGAATCACATAGAAGAGAAGGATGTGCAGAGAGTTATGTTGCGGAGTCGGTTCAGCTTTCCCCTAACTTTGCTGTTGTAATTACACAAGGGGTGTGTGTGTGTGTGTTTTCCAATGAATGACAGAACAACCCACTAATTAGTATCATGCTTATTGCAAATGTGGGCATTGCTTTGTGATTGAAACAAGGGCCAGCCAATTAACACTGTGCAAAACTCGCTTCTCACAGTGGAAAAGAATCTGTCACAGCCCAGGGAAAAGGATATTGATATGTGCAGGGATTTCCGCAGTAGGCTTATTGTCAAATGTATGTATATATCCTTTGCTATATGGTTTGTTTAGAGTTGTCTATATTGGGTATATTAACAGTTGTTTGTGCTGCTTATTTTGTGTTGTGTGTGTGCATGTGAGTAGTTTGGATTTACTGATTGTTCATGACCAACTAATCTAGGATTCCAAATTAATCTGGTTCAGTGGTAGCACTGGATAAAACAAGACCCGATGAACTTTGCAACAGTTGCTTGGCATGCTGTGAGCAATGGTGCACAAGCATATTTCTACTCCTCCGAGACAGAGTGGAAAAGCAAAGTAATATAGTCACCCTGCACTGAGTTGTGTGTTTTGACTTCCTAACAAGTGTGCAGACCTACACACTTCATTGTGGAGGGTGATCCATAAGTATCACCTTTCTAAAATAGCTTCTCTTCCTGCACACACTTCCATGGTATAGTCTTCTCTCATACTTGTTCCACCTTAGAATGCATTTGGGAAGATTGCTGATCAAAAGCATTTCCCCTCCATGTGATATGCAGACACATACAAATCAGTGATATGCAGACACATACAAATCAGAGTGGTCTGCTCATGTGACCTTGGCATAATATCACTGCAAGGTCTCTACCTTGTGAGAAGGTAAAATGAAGGTTGAAAGGTTGCCTGTTGAAAGTATAGTAAAAATGATAGTGGAAAATAGCATTGGTGAGAGACAAACGAGCTGTTTAGGCATTGAAACTCTTCATTTCCTAACCACTTATCAACTCAGAAGTAAGTTCCATTGAATTCCTATACTTTTGTACCTGAGACTTGCAGCCTGAATCTCTGACTCTGTTTTTACTTGTTATAACTTATTTTTTGTCTGTGTTATGTTAATGCTTATTGTAGCCTTTGTAGTCTTTGATCTGATAATCTCTGATGTGGTAAATCCCCTAGTAGAAAGGTGCTATAGGAATGCAGGATGGTGCTTCTTCCTACAGCAAGAACGGTGAACGGGGGGCCCTACGGATTTGTTAGTGATGGAAGTTGGCATCAAACAGTTTCCACAAGACCACAGGTTCCCCACCCCTGGCCTTTAGCAATGTCTGTGGCTCATTTTCAAATTCTGCATGCTGTGAAATACAGGTCACCACTCATGACAAGAATTGGAAGCTGATGAGCACGAACAGCTTGATGATCCTTCAAGAAGAGCATCAGAGAAGGGAGTAGGCTGGGCTAGTTTACTCCTTTCCCCTGCCTTCCCCCTTGCTGCCCATCCTACAGCATTTGATCATTCTTCTGGGGCCATTTTGTGTTCCAGTTGCCCTTGTATATGTGGGAGCAACTTTTCTATGAACAACTCCTACATAGCTGGGGGAAAACCCCCAATGTTTAAATGAGCCAGTCTTTGGGTAGGGCCTGATTGTGAATATTTCCCACAGATCAGCACCTTCCTCTGGCTTACTGCTGAATCTGTTGGACAGTGCCATACAATTTTCCTTTTCCCTCTTGCTGTTGTGCTCAAATCCTACTTGCTTGTTTCCTACAGGTATCTGATTGGCCACTATTAGAACAGGATGCTGGACTTAGATAGGCCATTGGCCTGATCCAGTAGGCTCTTCTTATGTTCCCTTGTGTCTAGAAGAGGTTCACTCAAGACCTCCCCAAGCATTGCACTTGTTTTAGATTTACATTTAATACATCACCTTCCACATCTTCTGTGTCGAAAATCCGTATTTCCCACACGTATCATGCAAAGAGGTTGGGCAATCAAGAGATATTTTAGTAACTCCATTTTTTTATTTGACCCCTGGAGTTTAGCAACTGTACTGGCTTCATCCATAATATTGTCTGCAAGAGAAACACCTGGCATTAGGAAGCCAGCAGGATTTACAAGCCACCCCTAGTGGGCTTACAGAAACTGTCATTGCAGTTATGCATGATTCTGTGGTTCCCTTAAGAATGATCAGCAGTAAACATAGAGCTTACTACGGGAGGAATTTGTAAGGATTGTTGTCAGTAACTGCTGGTCTTGAGAGTTCAGTTAGCACTTCCTGGAGAGATTGTACATTTCAACATGACAACACAGGTATTCAAAAGAATGAATTGAATGAGCTTTAGTAGCTTCACAGTATAGAGCCCCTTACCATGATCACTATAGAGAATATAGCAAATAAACAGATCCAGTTTAAAAAGTCACAATTTTGCTGGCTTAGATAGATTTGCATTTTCTTGTCCAGTTCCCAGAATGAGAGAGTTCCAAGCCAAAATAGTAATAATAAAGTGTTACATGATATCACTGCTTTTTAGAATAAATAAATATATAAACCTTCATTGGGGACACTCTGGATATGCTCTGATGCAGCCACTCTTAGACCTTTTAAAGAGGTGTTTTCTATCAGAGGGGAGAAACATTCTGCATATACTAAAAAAAAAGGACCTTATATCCTTACCCCCCCCCTTTTAAAGAAGCTAGATCATCTTGTAAAAGAACAAACATTTTGTACATGTTTAAAGGCTGGGTCTTTGGAAGGGACACTCTGGACATGCTCAGAAGAAATCAAACTTAAGTACTCAGAGATACTTAAACTGCCAGAATAACATAAGGGTGTATTTGATATTACTAAGTTTGGGACTCGTTACATATTATGCACACTCTGGAGAAAAGCATGTTTGCCAGTGCTCATTGGGAGAGCTTTTTTGTCACATTGTCATAAATCTTTGCACTTATTTCAAAATAATTTTCACACAAGTTTTGAACGCAGGTCATACCAGGGAATTGCTGCTGTTGTTTGGAACTTCAGTAGTGCTTCCCTCTGATGTGCTCTGAATTCCTCAGGTGTCCTGTATAATCTTAGGACCACAGTGATGAGGATCTGTGCACCACAAGGACCACATCTTTCTGTAGATTCCTCTCCACACACTACAGTCAACGTCTGAAACCCTGCTCCAGATCCCTAGATGGCAGGAGCTTGACTGGCAACAATCAGGGCCAGATCTTTTCTCTTGTGGCATGCCTTACCAATTGAGGAGTGTTACCAGATTGCTTTATTTTTGCTGGTGTGTGTCAGCGTTTCAATGGCTCTTTGGGGTCTTGTTATAGGGGCTTCGCTTTGATGTCCATATTTGTGACGTGCAGGGGGAAGTGCTTTGGATTGCAAAACACCTTGAGTGTCTTTGAAAATTAGGCAGGGTGAACATTTTAACAACAACAACAACACCGCAGTAGCAGATGTCAATAAATAAGGCGTCACCCTCTCCTTGAGAAACACATATTTCTCAGATCAAGGTCATTCAGCAAGTTCTTCCCTTCAGAGCTGAGCTTTCCTCATTCCCATTCTCCATTTTCTTTGAAAGAGGAAAAAGCACCATGCACTTCCTTGTGCTGCTGGCAGTGATAAGAGCCTTGCTAGTGAAGTTAATACAATTAGACACATTTGCACAATAAAGCATAAACAGTCCTGGCTATTTACTAAATTATATTGTGAGCAGTTCATTAATTAGAGAATCAGACCAGGACATGACTTTCATAAACTTGTTAAATTGGCTTAGAGCTACACCCATTATGAAGTTTTAATATCCTATTTAGTATCCTATTTAAATAGGTGTAAAATTCTTTGGATTTCAGAATCTTTAAGGGATTTAGAATGAAGGTAAGGGCTTCAGAATGAAGCCTGTGCCAATTTGTGTTGAGATGGGGAACCACAGTTTTTGTGGATTAGCAGTTCTTTCATTGTAGACTCATTTGGGATATTTGACCCATCCAGTACTTGACCTTAAAGGAGGCAATGATTACTTTATTTTCCTGAGGCTTATCTTTAAAAACAAACAAACAAACAAACAATTTTTATTGGTTTTTATACAGATACAAATACAATAACCATTAAATATTTATCCAGTAGTACAGCTAATGGTGTTTGTTTTATCCATTGTCTCTAGACATACATTTAAACATTCAGCATTCAAACATATTACTTTAACGTAACCTTGCCACCTAGAATATTGAGCAGACCCCCTTCTTTAACTATGTTAATGACCAAAATCAGAGGAATACTTTATTGGTCACTGAAACCATTTTTACCCATCCCCACCCCCACCCCCCAAACCTGGAAACCCTACTGCATTACATGACCAAAAACCATGGAAAATTGTTACCGAAAAGTCTGCATGCATAAGTTAATGTGATTTGTCGAAATCTACACACATATGGGAATACTTTTATTGAACATTGTGCATGTGCTGGCATATGCAATTACGTTTATAGTGTAATATATGAGGAAGCCCTTATTAAGCAAAAAAACTAGATACAACAATTTCCAAATGTAAGAGCTTTTTTATGTTTTCCAATTTCATTACTCACCAAAGGGCAGTGAAAGTATATTTTTATTATAAACTTAACATTTTTTTATTATTATTAACGATTTACTGCTTCAGATTAGGCATATGGGTTTTCAGAGAACAAAACCTGCTTTTTCTGCACGGTGTGAAAGGTCAATATTGTGTTTAGAATGACAACTCTCTGGTTCCCTTCTAGAGAAATTCACCGCCGTACCTTTATAATGAAGCTGGTAGCACAAGTCAATTTCTGAGTGAATAAATGTTTACATAGTGAATTACCTCTAGTCAAGGATTGCCTTGTTTGTAATCTCATCAGAGAGGCCAAAGGTTAAGTGTTCACAGCAAATTAACAACCACCTCACTCCAGTCATGGTCTGGGGCAAGTCACCTTGACACACAGGTGACTTGAGGAAAGCTTTTTCATGCCATTCTGTTCTCATCTCCCTGTGGAGTCCTGGAGCACTGAGATCATTAAAAGTCGATCAAATCAGCACTTTTAGCAGAGGAAGGAAAAAATTTAACGGCAAGAAAATAGGTTTAAAGGCTTATTAAAAGCTCAGCGCCTCTCTATTTTTAGAGGATCAACCGTTTCTGGGGGGTGGCAGAAGTCATTTAAATTGCAGCTACCATTTTACATCAGAAGCCCCTTTACTTTTAATGATCCTCATGCAAGTCCTGCCAGTGATGACTGAATTCACTGGGTTGCCTTGGCAGGTGGCTGAGGCACATTTTCTATAGCAGCAAATGGAAGAAATAATCTAATCCTATCACTACCATTTCTTACAGAGATGGGGAACTTATGGCCCTTGAGTTGTTGCTGAACTAAAACTGTCAGCATCCCTGAATCTTAGCCATACTGGGAGTTGAAGTCTGTTACCAAGGCTCCCCCCTCCCCAGCCAGAATATCATTCTAAGAGAATGAGGAAGGTGTTCATGGTGAGTTCCAGCACCTCTTTTTCTGTAAAAATAGCACTAATTATTACTCCTCTGAACATTTTCACAGGAACCTCTGTGGTACAAGTAACAGCTACTGATGCCGATGACCCTACATATGGAAACAGTGCCAGAGTGGTCTACAGCATTCTTCAAGGACAGCCTTATTTTTCTGTGGAACCAAAGACAGGTAAATGCTCTTACACTTCCCATATCTACAGCTTTTATCATGGAAAACTGAAAATAACCTCCAGAGTTCTCTGACAGAGGTGCACTCTATTTGACTATCTCTATAATCCCAAGATGCAGGAAAGTAGGGCTGCCCATGTTCACCTTGTGAATGAATGAATGAATGAATGAAACTTTATTTGCATCAGCCATCTGCCATAGCAACAAAAAACATTGTGATATACACAGAACAAAATAAAAAAGTCAATTATATAAAACACAGTTTAGGGTCCTGAATTAGCAGTCAAATAGTGGACCTTATTCTGATTGCCCCAGCTAGAAACCTTGCAACTTTTGCAGTCATCTGCTCCTCTGGCTCCATGAGTGCCAGCATGGTGTAGTGGTTAAGAGCAGTGGACTCGTAATCTGGTGAACCGGGTTCACTTCCCCGCTCCTCCACATGCAGCTGTTGGGTGACCTTGGGCCTGTCACACTTCCTTGAAGTCTCTCAGCCCCACTCACCTCACAGAGTGTTTGTTGTGGGGGAGGAAGGGAAAGGAGATTGTTAGCCGCTTTGAGACTCCTTAGGGTAGTGATAAAGTGGGATATCAAAATCCAAACTCTTCTTGATCTGCCAGGAGAAACGACACTGTGCCAGTGGCTGGGCGACCCAGAATGGTCAATAAAAGAGGCATGATAATCTCATTCCTCAGGTCTTTGTAAAGAGTGCACGTGAGGACGTCATGCGCCACTGATTCAGTGCTGCCATCTCCGCAGGGACATATGTGTTTTTCGTGTGGAATCTGTTGGAATCGTCCCTCAAGTACAGCCAAAGGCTGTACCTTGTGTTCACCTTGGGTGCTCCCTCTGCCCCACTTTGTCCCCTCCGCAATCCTATTCATGGTCATGGTTGCAGTTCTTGGAGAGAGTTTGCATGTGTTTGGCAGACTGCCTTGCTGCAGATGTGTCCCCAACCCCATGGGAAAGGGTTGTCATAGGGGCAAACAGGGCGAGCATGCAGGGCCCTGCTGTCCAGCATCATGCAGTTTGAGTCATCTGAGCACGGAAATCCGAATAAAGCTTAACTGGACTCCAGACTGCAGGCAAAGGCTGTCATCTAGTAAAGCTGTTTGTGGATAAGTAGACGGATAAATGGCTGTGAAGGCTAAATGGGACCGAAATGGAAGAGTATTTTTTATTATTTGATGATTATGGCTATTTGGAAAATACATATCACCCAATTAAACATGGTCTCTGGGTGGTTCACAATTATTACTTAAAAAAACAACAACTGGTCAGATACAATCAAAACTAAAAAAAAAAAAAAACATCAATAGGAAGGAACTATATCAGCTAAGGATCAGTGTAAAATCAGCATGAAGCCATCATGAGGCAACATAAAATCAATAAGAAGGGGGGGAACCTAGCATCTTTGAATATCAGATGCAGGAGTCAAACAGCAGGGAATTATCATCATGTCCTTACTTCCAAAGTTATCTTCTTGGCCATTGTTGGAAATGGAGTGCTAAACTCAATAGACATTAGGCTGATTTGGTAAAACAATTCTTATCCTCTAATGCAGGCTTTGCCTGTGGATACATTTGGAAACCTGAGAAACTGTGGCAAGCAACCTTGCAGCTACACACACCACATATTCTCTCCAGCTGTGACCTTCCCCACACTCAAAGTCAACAACTGTGCCACAGTTAAGTTTGAAAAAGATTTGTCTACAACTGGAGGCTTCTTTTAAGCCTGATTGCAGCAGTGGAGCTGGGAGGGACAGGGTGCTGTAGGCATTGGGGTGGGTAAGTCCTGTTGAGGTCAATGGGATTTACTCCCAGGTATAGGGTTTCAAACTTAAAATGCAATCTACAGTCATATCTCAGGTTGAAGTAGCTTTGGGTTGCGTATTTTTGGGTTGCGTTCTGCGGTGACCCGGAAGTAACGGAGTGCGTTACTTCTGGGTTTCGCCGCTCGCGCATGCACAGACGGTCAAAATGACGTCATGTGCAGAAGTGACGAATCGCGACCCGCGGACGCAGGTTGCATTCGCTTCTGGATGCGAACGGGGCTCCGGAACGGATCCTGTTCGCATCCAGAGGTACCACTGTACATGTCTTCTGAAAAGTAAGTCTCCTTGGGTCTACTAGGGCTCCCTGCCAGGTGTGTGTAAGATTGTAGCCTTTATCTTGAGGAAGAAGCCACTGGTCATTTTAAAACTACCTTGTCTCTTTTGGCATGAGAACCATTGCAGAGTGGGAGAGAATCAAAGTTCTCGCTGTGATTGTGGCTCTCTTTCCCAATTGACATGAATGGACCGTATATTTGGATATGTGGAATTTATAGATTTTATTAGATGTGTGTTACTGCAAAACAGTTTGGGGTTTTTAATGTTCTTACTTATATTCTTATTTCCACATCCCTGAAATGTGTTTGGTTTTTGTAATAACAAGTATATATTTGAAACATGTAAATACTTGAAATTATTTGTATTCATCTCTACCTTTCCCCCCCATTGTGATCTCATCCATTTCCCCAGCTTTATTTATCTGCACTCCAGCAGGTTTCCTGAGACTTTTTTTTTTAATCTTCCAAATATTCTAAGAGGATGGGTTTGGGTTTTTTATGTCTTATCTTTGTGAAGAGTTGTTTGTACTTCAGAGTTAGAGTCTGCCTGAGTTCTACAGTTTGCATGGTACAGTTTCCAGAGGAAATTTCCTACATTCAGAATACTGTCCAGTAATAATAATAATAATAATAATAATAATAATAATAATAATAATACCTTTATTGTCAATGTACAACCTGTGTACAATGAAATTAACAATGAAATTAAAATGTGGCAATGTTTATCATTATCTCTTAAGTAAAATATCTCCCTTAGTTATTGTGCCAATTTTGAGCATTCTGGAACCTCTTCCTTACAAATACTCACCTGTGCAAAATGAGTAAGTGTAGGGTTCCCTGACCATACAGACAATCAATCATGTGGAAATAGCCCTCTGTGCATACCGATATGTACAGGGGCTTGGTGCAAAGATAACAAATGTGCACCAATCAGTGGTGGAACCTGTCACTTCCATGCTGTTCCCTTCCGCTGACCCACATTGATTTTGCACAATGAATGTATGCAAGGGGCTCGCAAACAATTGATGTGTGTCAATGCTAAAAGGGTTATGAGCCACATTGCCATACTGGGTCATTGGTCGTATCAAAGAGCAGACAGTATCATAGGCAGGAGCAAGTGGGAATCATGAAATAGAGCATGCCAGAACATTCTAAGGTCAAGACAAAAGATCAGAAGCCAGGGCTGCCAAACAGAAGCATAAATCATTTGGTCCAAGGGTCAAGTTTCTGGTGCTTTAAGACTCACTTTCTGCCCCAGAACAGCTTTTCTCCCTTCTCTCCTTACTTTCTACTCAAAGTTTGTTTGCTTATATTAAATAGATAAATATTTTTATTTAACAAAATTTATATACTGCTTGATTGTAACAAAATCTCTAAAATCTACTATTGTTCTTGTTAAGTCTCAGCCATCTCTCTCTCTCTTTCTACTTTCCTTCAACATCTCCTCTGGCTACTTTTCCTCAGCATGCAAGGTGTTGCTGGTGCATGCATTGGTCAAACCACAAGGCTGTGGCATGGCTGGGGGCGAGTGAGGAGACACAGGGCAGGCTGTGACTCTTGGGCCTACCTGACCATGGCCCAAGGCCCACTGGTGACTCCCAGACCACTGTTTGAGAAACACACACAAACGTGTGTGGGGTGTGTGTGTGGTATTATTATTTTCCCCAAAGGAAGAGGTTATTCTGAACATGACATTGCACTTGTCATTCATAGAACAATAGAAACCCCTTTCCACACACCAGATGGGCAGGCTGCAAGGAAGCAAGCATAATTAAGTCCTCATACATACAGGTGCTTTTGCCACTTTCATTTTGCTTACAGCAAAGAGTTTCAGGGATTCTATCTGATAAAGTATGGGCAATGTGACAGGAGAGGGGCCTTGGGCCTACTCAGCCAAGCCTTGAAATTGCCTTTATTTCTGTAATTTTCAGCCTATTGTTTCTTGCCCTTCCTTCAGCAGTTAATGAGTCTGACTGTTCGCACTCCTTCAGATCTGTTTTGTCAACTTTGCCATAGCCTGTCATACAATTAATTACATTCTTCATGAAGGGAGACATCCCACAGGCTTGTGGGGTCAGCATATGATTTAAAGAAGGACAGATTGACAAAAATAACACAAGGGAACCATTTGTGAAGTTGTCTTTTAGCCTTCCCAGCCTGTTTAGTATGGATGAAATAAAGCTATTATTATTTTATTTTATTTTTAAAAATTGTCCTTTCAGCACAGGGAAGATTAATGGGCTGCTCTAAATTCAAAAGAAGAGGAAATAAATAAAACTGGAACTAAAGAGCTTGCAAACATTACAAGGAGATATAGAAGCCCCAATGCACCTCTCAGTTATCCATGTATTTTATGTTTCCCTTCTGCTGACATGTAGCAGTAGTAGAGTAAAAGCCCATCTCTCTGGAAATCAGAGACACCAGCTGGACCGTGTAACAAGCATGAAATAGTCATAAAGCCTTCCTGGTTTGAGGAGGAATATTTATTTATCTGATACTTAACTGCACAGCAGAATGATGACAAGCTAGCTTTTCTCTCTCCTCCCTTTACATTTCAAGCCATAATTACACATGGCACAGAGATGACCAAATGGATAAAACTAAAACTAGTTCAGATAATACAGTGTTTCAATTACTATATCAAAGCTTCCTAATTATAGTGAGTGCTTTAGAAGTGGTTATTGTTTTTTTAAGTTTGCTTTAAAGATATTAGCTAATTCAAGATAGCTTCATTGAAATGCATAGTGTGATACAAGATTATTCATAGCAGCAAGGATCTGTGGGGCTATTTACCATTTCGAGCCATTAGGAAACTCATTGTGGCAGGCTGGAAGTTTAGAAACTGCTCTGTTTAGACTGATGGGCCTCAGTGGCACTGGGGCTTGGCTAGCTCTGTTCAGGCTCAGGATTCCTAAGAGAAAAGTTCAAATGCTATTTCACTGGCAAGTCTTTCTCAGACTGAGCCTTAAATGGGAGCTGTGGTCCTATCTCAGAGCTAGGCTTCCCTCCCTTCTTTTAGAAGTCCTTGACTACAGTGGATCAGAGGAGGCTGTTGTTCCACTAGGGCTTCTGAGCTGGAGCCCGTGTAGGCAGACAAGAGCAGCAGAGAGGTACTGACACAATGGGCTGACTCTGAGGTCGTTTTGTCTCCACATTCTTACCCTCATCCCCTGAAAAGGGGAAATGCAACTCAAGGGTCATGACATCCACCAAGTGTTGAATGGCATATATTTTCTAGAATGACAGGGCGGATGTCCACAGTAAGCCTTTTCCTGGATCTTGAGTGCTCTCATTTTGCAAATGAATCTCCACAACCCTCGAGACATCTATGCACAGACCACATCAATCCTGCATCTGTCTAGATGACATATATGGAAGATGACAGGTCATTACAAGGCGAAGTATGATAACCCAGTGACCACCTTGAAAAAGATGGAATTGCTTCTGCATGACATCTATGTCTTTCCATAAGCAAGTTGTGTGTATTAACATTATATAGTCTGTCTCTGGGCTACTGTTCCCCAGCTGGATGCCCTCCAGATATTCTGGCCTTTAATTCCCATTATTCCTGATTATTGACCATGCTGCCTGGGACAGATGAGAGTTGCAATGCAAAACCTCTGGAGGAGTTGGGTTTGAAAATGCTGCTCTAGGTGCTTGCCCAAGATTCCTGACAGAGGCTTCCAGCAGCATGGAGACAAAACAGTCTTTTGAAGCTTAGAACTAATGGCAAGTGGGTGGAAAGTAGCCTACCCCCAATTTTTTAAAAAAAAATAAAGTCCTTGCTAAATGCTCATAAGCAAGAGAGGTGCAGCGGACATTTTAACATGAACTATGGATCATGTTTAGTCTTGGAAATGAACCAGCGTGTTTAAACTTTATAGCACTTATAGATTTCCCCCTTATTATTGTTAGCTTGTAATATATTGGGAACATGTCTCTTGATTGCATATGCTTTGAAGTATAGTGCTTTTCCATTTCAGTGTTCGGGTTATGAATGGATACAGCCATTCTTTATACAGTACATTGACTATATGTATGGCTGCAAGCTAAATTCATTAAAACAGGAGTGATGGGGTATATAAGATAGTTCTGACTTGCACAACATACAGCTCTATAGTAAATGTTGAAGCACAGGAGTTCCATGTTTTTTAAGGGTGCTCTATTTCAGCTACATGAGTCTAACTACAATGTATATTTTCACATTCTGTGTAGCACAGGTCTGGACTGAAAACTGGGTTGTGGACCAAGCTACAGTGGGTGTCTTCAGGGGCACAACTACTATATTCTTTTTTCTTTGTTATTATTGTTTAAAGAAAAAGGGAAAGAAAGATGATTAAGCATGGAGAAAGAGACAAAGGGAAGAAAGGGAGAGAAAACCGGGGCAAAAATACACACACACTTCTATATCTAGAGCATGCCATGCAGCAGGTTGAAGTTAAAGGTGAGTCCTAGGTCTGGAAACATTGAAAACTACATTATTAGCATGCAGGGCACAGTTAGAGAAGGCTAAGTTCACATTATATCCCACTAGTGAATGTTCAAAGCTAGTCACCATTCCTAGTAATAAGGCCTGTCTTTTGGATTGTTCCTGTTGACATGTTGGATCAGTTCAAATCCCTTACATAAGTGCAAGGGTGACTAATCTGTGACCCTCCAAATGTTGCTGAACTTCAGCTCACACCATCATTGACCATGCTAGCTTGGGCTGATAGGAGTTGTAGTTTAGCAACATCTGGAGGGCCACAAGCTAGCCACCCCTGCTTCAGTGTACTCTGTTTATCTTTTGACTGGTGTATATTTTCCCTGCTATGCTTCTGAGTTGGAAATGTAGCTCTGCCACTGTTTCATTTATATGCATTTTGCCATATTCCAGGTATTATCAAAACCGCGCTTCCCAATATGGACAGAGAAGCGAAAGACCAGTATCTACTTGTCATTCAAGCGAAGGATATGGTTGGTCAAAATGGAGGGCTCTCTGGGACCACCTCTGTCACCGTCACCCTTACAGATGTCAACGATAACCCTCCCCGCTTTCCCCGCAGTAAGTTTCTGTGGATGATGAATGAGGAAGACTATATTTCTTACAAAACTAAATCTACATTAGTTTCAAGTCCAGTAGTGAGCCTTTCAGGTTCCCAGCTGTTCAAGTGTGTTGGCTGCACAACATAGTATGCCTGACCATTGCACCTTACACATATTCTGAGGGGTTATGCAAATGTCCATTCTCCATCTTTCGGATCCCTTTGGGTTTTTTTCGTGCATCGACGTGTGTTGCCAGTACTTGAGGATGCTTAATTTCTTTCTGACTTTATGATTACAGTATTTCTGTGATTAATTATAAGGTGCATCAAAATATCCTGTGTAGGTGGATGCATAGTTGTTCTTGTGTGCATCTCACATTGCCTGACTATCTCTGTCAATTCCCCCCCTCCCAAAGACACTGAGAGTTTCATAGAAAAATCAATCTGGGAAGAACTAGAAAACAATCTGCCCTCAATTTACTTGCTTTGACCAAGGTGGCTCATGACTGAACTAAGCAAGGAAAAGAAACAAGCTTATTTCCAGACTTGAGCTAGCCTGTTTATACACAGTCTGCTGCTCTTCTCCACCTTGCTGCGATATTTCTTGTAAAGTCATTGCAGGAGTGAATTAGACTAATGTGAGGAACATATGCATGCCCAATCTGGTCAGTTTTCAAGTGGGTATGAAAAGAAACAAGCCAATCAAAGCAAGACTGGGAATTAGATTCTTTCCCCCCTTGAATTGCTTGAGTAATAATAAAACACCAGAGATTCAGCTTCTCAAAGTGAGAATGTTAGTGGCTTCAGCCTGCATTTTGTTAAGCTGCAATCTGTATCAATTTCAGCTTGAGCCGCAGGTTTAGAGTTTTCACAGGAGAAGAAGGATGCCTTTGCAACAATAGCATTTATCTCAATTACATGGCATGAAGAGCCAGGAAACTGTCTCCTTAAGACACAATTAAGACTTATCTCTTATTTTACAAATGGATTTATTCTTTTCTTTGGTGACATGAGATATACTCAAGAGAAAATGTCATTGGCTGTAGTCTGCCTTGGTAGAAAAGTTAGGTTAAGTGCTATTTTTCCTTCTTAGATGTTATTTTCATCAGTTTACTTATGCATCACTTGCTTATGTGGATTTATAGTTGTGAGAGCAGAATAATGTTGGAGGAATAGTCTCAAATAGCAAAGCTTAAGGAATTTGTTCCTTGCAAGCTCCAATAAAAACAGATATTATCTGCACATCCTGAACTAATGTGTAGACCAGAACATAGTTATCCTTTGGATTTCACACTTCTTTGCATTTTTACAATGCAATTTTTGGCTCAAAATGCATTTGCAAATTGATACTTCAAGAGAAAACACATTTAGAAATGAGCATTTTTAGGAAAATACCTTTAAAAATGTATGTTTTGCAAGGAAATATGTTCCAATATATAAAAATTTCCATGCAGGTGTTGTTGTTGTTTTTTAAAAAAGCATAGGTTAAAGAGGAGCAGGCATATGAATGCATGCATTTGAAAGAGACATGAACTGGAAATAGACAGATCCACCCCTAGATTCAAATAATACTGTGAGCAAAATTTAACTATTTTGGAGTGGATCTAACAAAGCCTGACCTATGAATATTTCCCTCCTCCAACATGACATTAAATACTACAAGCAAGGAAGGTGGCAAAAATAATTTTTAGAATAGAATGTGGATGGAAGGAAGGGTAGCAGCAGTCTACTTGTACAATGTGGCAGGTCCTTTTCGGACACCAGAAAGATGTGCCATCCTATAGAGGGCACAGAGGAGAGAATGCTGGTGTTATGATTTTAAATCACCCAGTCTTCAGCAACATGGAGCACTTTGGATGACCATGCTGGCTGGGACTGGTGGAAGCTGCATTTCAGTCACCATCACCATTAGCAGCAGCAGCAGCATCTTGAGGGCACCAGAGTGGCCAAGGCAGAAAGAACATTTTCCCTCATGGCATTTTAAAGAAATACCAAATGTATTATGTTTAGAACCCTTCAGCTATAAACTGAGGTCATTGATTGATTGATTGATTGATTGATTGATTGATGAACAGATGAAAATCCAGGGACTGTTCTGAACTTTACAGGATCGTATCAATATAATGTCCCGGAATCGCTACCCGTGGCTTCGGTGGTCGCCAGATTAAAGGCTGCAGATGCTGATGTGGGACCAAATGCCGAAATGGAATATAAAATAGTGGATGGTGATGGCTTGGCCGTTTTCAAAATCTTAGTGGACAAAGAGACACAAGAAGGAATCATTACAATACAAAAGGTAACCTCACTTCATTATTTCTGTCCTGGTACACAAGTAACATCATCTCACTTTCAGTTTATGCAAGGAAGAGGCTTCAGCCAAAAGACAGATAAATAAATACCAGTGAGACCTGCAACCAAAGGTTGTATTATAGAGTACTGCTGCTTGGGATACCAGCCATTTCATTCCCCTTCACCCCGTTTTCTGTCCCTCACCTCCTCTAACCATCAGCTAGCAGACCATGGCCACTCAGACATAGTTTCTATTGGTCTCTTTTTGGGGTTCCCAACCTGGGAGGGGGGGCTCTAAATATTTTTGTTCTTCTGAAAACCTTGGGGTTCTCCCAATTTTGCTGACATCTCACATGTGGGGTGATGCCATTTTGGTTACATAAGCAACAACTCACAGTCTGAACATTGGAAATAGAGAGAAGGATGCCTTGATCCTACAACACACATTAAGAATTCCCAGCTATGTAGGACTCCCCCCACCCCGCCGCCTTAGTCAGCTAAAAGGTAAATATCAGAAGTGATTTCATTGAATGTCAACATACATACATTAATTGAAAATGGATAGAGTAACCTTCAGTAGTTATGTCAGGGTTAACAAGAAATGTATCAACAGTGCCAAGAAAGAAATGTTGTAGTTCTGTGGTTGAGTGGACAGAATGAAGGACGAATTCCGAAAGTTCAATCATCCTGTGGTTTTGTTGTAGAATCATAGAATCATAGAATCATAGAATCATAGAGTTGGAAGAGACCACAAGGGCCATCGAGTCCAACCCCCTGCCAAGCAGGAACACCATCAGAGCACTCCTGACATATGGTTGTCAAGCCTCTGCTTAAAGACCTCCAAAGAAGGAGACTCCACCACACTCCTTGGCAGCAAATTCCACTGTCGTACAGCTCTTACTGTCAGGAAGTTCTTCCTAATGTTTAGGTGGAATCTTCTTTCTTGTAGTTTGGATCCATTGCTCCGTGTCCGCTTCTCTGGAGCAGCAGAAAACAACCTTTCTCCCTCCTCTATGTGACATCCTTTTATATATTTGAACATGGCTATCATATCACCCCTTAACCTCCTCTTCTCCAGGCTAAACATGCCCAGCTCTCTTAGCCATTCCTCATAAGGCATCGTTTCCAGGCCTTGGACCATTTTGGTTGCCCTCCTCTGGACACGTTCCAGTTTGTTAATGTCCTTCTTGAACTGTGGTGCCCAGAACTGGACACAGTACTCCAGGTGAGGTCTGACCAGAGCAGAATACAGTGGCACTATTACTTCCCTTGATCTAGATGCTATACTCCTATTGATGAGGCCCAGAATTGCATTGGCTTTTTTGCTGCCGCATCACACTGTTGGCTCATGTCAAGTTTGTGGTCAACCAAGACTCCTAGATCCTTTTCACATGTACTGCTCTCAAGCCAGGTGTATTTTGTATTTGTGCCTCTCATTTTTTTGCCCAAGTGCAATACTTTACATTTCTCCCTGTTAAAATTCATCTTGTTTGTTTTTGCCCAGTTCTCTAATCTGTCAAGGTCGTTTTGAAGTGTGATCCTGTCCTCTGGGGTGTTAGCCACCCCTCCCAATTTGGTGTCATCTGCAAATTTGATCAGGATGCCCTTGAGTCCATCATCCAAGTCGTTGATAAAGATGTTGAATAAGACCGGGCCCAAGACAGAACCCTGTGGCACCCCACTAGTCACTCTTCTCCAGGATGAAGAGGAACCATTGATGAGCACCCTTTGGGTTCGGTCAGTCAGCCAGTTACAAATCCACTGAGTGGTAGCATAGTCAAGACCACATTTTACCAGCTTCTTTACAAGAAGATTCCATATGTTGTGTACATATGGAATCCTTGCAGTAGACAAATTGTCATTGATGTTACTTTTTCCATGAACAATGAATGATTCTGTAAATGAGGGAGTTACTTTCCCCTTCCTTCTCAGTCTGTTCAATGGGGAAGATAGGAATAGATGGTCCCTTTAGGGAAATCTAGTTGATTCTTAATCTGAGTATGTGCCACAGAAAACAGTTTTGTTTTCATAACTTTTGTTGTTTGAAGACAGTATTGCAGTCTTCTTCCTTCCTTCCTTCCTTTCTCTCTCTCTCTCTCTCTCTCTCTCTCTCTCTGTGTGTGTGTGTGTGTATGCGTGTGCACGTGCGTAAGTGCATTTCAATATTGTTGTAATTTTCTGATTTTAGTCTCTTTGTTCTTATCACATTGTTTGTTTTATAATCCCCAGTGAAATTGCCTGATGGAACAAGGTTCCTGGGACTCTTGTTCATTTGACAGATGCACAAGCCTGATTAGTGTTAGGATTAACCAAAAGGAGGGAAATGGTTCTCCAGCAACAGGGCCTTTGAATGGTAGATTACCGTAAATTATATCATTTGATAGTTGTCATCTAGTTTTGTTTAAAAGGAGAGTCTCAGACTGCTTCCTTTGAAGAATAACTGCGTATTGAGTCCTTCCTTCCTTCCTTCCTTCCTTCCTTCCTTCCTTCCTTCCCTCCTTCCTTCTCTTGTTCTTCTTCAGCAGAGACGGCTTGCCTTGTAATTTCCTTCAGACAAGACAAAATGCTCACTTTTCCCCCCAAAGAAGTTGAATGGATGAGGCATAGGATCTAATCAGATAACACTAATGCACAGATATTAATGAAGCTGTCAAGCTCCATTCACTGTGCTGAGGGAAGAACCAAAGTATACTTTGTTTTTTTAACCTTCAGCACTGTTCTAGTGATTTGTGAGATGTTTGTTTGCTATTCTAACAATCCCCATATTTCAGTTATGGTCAGGAAGGGGTAAAGTGAATGCCAGCTAAATGATGGTTGTTATAAAATAAACATTAGCGTCAAAGTGAAGCAAAACAAATAAAAAACAAAAACAACCCTTCTTGATGGAGCATCTTTAGAAATTAAAGCCTCTCTACTATTTCTGCATTGTAAGGGCTACTTTGCTTTCCACTATGTCACTGCAAAATTTCATCGTTTCATGCATGAGAAAATCAATAAAATGATTATTTTTTTTTCATCTGATCCAGTATTTGAGAGCAAGAGTCCTATCAGACAGATGGAGCCATTTAATTATTGCTGCATAGAATCACAGAGTTTGAAGAGATCCTGAGGATCATCTAGTCCAACGTCCTGCAATGCAGGAATATGTCGTTGTCCTTTACAGGGATCGTACCTGCAACCATGGTATTATCAGCACCATGCTCTAGCCAACTAAGATGTCTGTTAGTTCAGGGTGAGCAGGATCTAATTCTGTGGGATGGGCTGAATGTTGTATATGGCAGCCATTACTGATTAACAACTGTGGGAGAGAGGTCCCTAGGCACTTACCAGCAAGCATTTGCTTGATGGCAGCAGAGAGACTGGGCGGCTGGCGCATGGCTCTTGAACATCAGAAACACCCAGTGTAGGCCTATAGCATGATCAATCCATGCTCAAATGTGACACTGCCTGGCCATGCTCTTAAACAGTATATAATTTATTTTTCCTCCCCTGCTCTATTATTATTTGTTACAACAATAAACTATTGCAATTTATAAAACACTAGAGTACTGGTGTTCTTGTCACATTATCCGCTTTCCTCTATGAGTTCACACTTCCGATGCAAGACATTAAAACATTAACAAATCCATAGAACGCATTTCTCCATTCTGACATTTTCTGGCATTATTCTATGGACACTCCACACTTAAAGCTCTCATTCTCATGCTAAATGATGGTGCCATGTGCTGTCTGAACATAGTAAGGGTACCTCTTACCCCAGTAAAAACAATTAGGCATGTCTATTTCTGATTTAGGAGAGAACAGAGTTAGTTAGCAATTGTTGTATGTCTTTATGTCAAGTGAGCATTATGCTATAGTCATCAAACTCTTTCTGTCTGCTGTATTTTTATTAGGAAACTTACAAGAGGGCTGCTTTAAATAGATTTCTTTTGTTTTTTTCACATCAAGTACTTAATGTCTTGAAAAACTGGCAATAGTTCATACTCTATTCACTTTTTCCAACTGGCTGCTTTTGTTGTAATAATTTTCCATGAAGCAGTTTTATGAGACTGTATGCATGATGTATCTATACATTTCAGCAATTCTCACTCTTGTTTTTGCAGTTGGTACAATCTTGCAAAAACAGCAGTGATTGAGACTTGTTGAAATGTAATTATTTACTTCTTTATTATATTCTTAACCCAAACATTCATCATATGATCCCAGGTTGGCTTACAGTTCTGTTACTTAGCAATTCCAATGGGAAAATTCATAATGCACCATATTCACAGCATTGCTAAATAAAATAGCAAATGTGATAATAATATGTTGGTTGAAGTATGTGTGTATATCTGCAACTTCCTGGGCAGTGCAGTTGGTATGAATCCTAAACCCCGAACCAAAGCACTTTGGAAAGACCCACGGCTTGTTCTCCACAGCTCCCCACACTGAATCAGACCCCTTCCAAAACTTGGGGTCTGAGTCAAAGGGACACAAAGACACAGACAGTTTGTGAAAACCTCCAACACCCAATATAACTTGGTGGTTTGTTTATTTTTTAAATTCAATTTATATCCTGCCCTTGCTCTGAAAAGAGCCCGGGGCATCACATAACGATAACGTTATGTATGATTGTTAGGAGATGGGAGAAGTGCCGTTGTGAGTGATAGCTCTAGTTTCGAGCCACAGAATGACCTCAATGGGAGTTTCATTTTATTTTCATTCATGGTGCTTTTGGGAGAGATGTGGAAGCCTCTGATCATCTGCTGTCAATTGAGAAGCAAACAAAAACAAAGCCTCTGCTTTCATTTATCATAACTCGCTAATCTCTGGACCTATCCTTATGAAGTTTTGCAGGTTTTTCGGATAGGGTTCCCCTCACCGTTTATGCTGCTTTCATACATACTAAGGTACCAAAAGCTCCCCAAGTCCTGCTGTCGCTTACCAAACAGTTTGAATCCATTTTTTGTCCTTACCTGACCTCTTGTGTAATTTGTAGGCACTTATTTGATCTGCTACCTCCCACGTTGTGAAGTGTTGTGATAGCAACATTAACTGCAATTTGTCCTACCATTCTTCTTAATCAATCTAATTTACATGTTTGATTGTGACATTAGCAGCAGTTCAACTGCTTACCATTTGGCTGATTTATATGATTTGAAAACAGCTTCACACACTCAAAAATATTATTATGATTTATTATTGTTAGCTTGAGTTCCATTATTTACTCTCATTAAATAATTATCTTGTTTTCTAATTACCCACATTTTGAAAGTTAATGTGTAAAAATATCAAATAAACCAATCAATTACTAAGCAAATTCTGGTTTCTTTTCTTCATTTCTTCTCCTGAACATATGCTGTTACCTTATAATAATAAAAAATAATATTTTTTATGTACATTAAATTTAAAAATTAGCAATACCAAGAGACAGTTTACTTACCAATGCAAACAACATTATGCAGTGTTCTTGCATTATGCACCCATGTCCTGGTAGAAGCTCCGTGGAACTGCATTCTATTCATTTAGTTAACAAAATGTATACACTGCTTACTAGAACAAAAGTCCTCTAATGCTTTACAATGGACAGTTCAAAGTATTCATTAAAAACACAAATAAAAATAAACATTAAAAACTAGTTACACAAACATATTAAAATGGAAAAGGCAGTAATTTCAGAACACTGCTACTTACTAAAATCACATACTAAAATTATGTGCCTAGGTAGGATTGCAGTAAGGAAATAAAAAGTCTGTAGCAGTCACCAAAAACAATATCCTGCCATATATCAATAGACAAGGAGATCCAAAGTGTAAGTGCTGCCACACTTAAGGTTCAGTTTCTTGCGTGTGTGAAATCAACAAATTGTGGCGCTTCTAAGTGGTTGAACTGGCATGTATGGGGGTGAGGCAATCCTTCACAATCTGATCCCCAGCTACTGAGTGCTTTACTTGCTAATAATAACATCTTGAATTAGGCCCAGTAACAAATTGGCAGGCAGTGTAGATTTCTAAGCAAGGCTGCTCTATGCTGACAGGGTCTTGTTCCTGTCAACAATCATGCTGCCGCATTCTGGGACGTGGGTGGCGCTGTGGTCTAAACCACTGAGCCTCTCGGGCTTGCCGATCAGAAGGTTGGCAGTTTGAATCCCCGCAACAGGGTGAGCTCCCATTGCTCTGTCCCAGCTCCTGCCAACCTAGCAGTTCTAAAGCATGGCAATGCAAGTAGATAAATAGGTACCGCTGTGGCGGGAAGGTAAATGGCGTTTCCGTGCGCTCTGGTTTCCATCACAGTGTCCCGTTGCACCAGAAGCAGTTTAGTCATGCTGGCCACATGACCTGGAAAGCTGTCTGTGGACAAATGCCAGCTCCCTCAGCCTCAAAGCCAGATGAGCACTGCAACCCCATAGTCGTCTTTGACTGGACTTAACTGTCCAGGGGTCCTTTACCTTTACCTCTTTTTTTTTACCTAACTGTAGCTTTTGGACCAAACACAAGGGGAGCCCTACTTAGAGTTCTTTGATGTAATCCTCTCTTGAAGTCACTGTATTCTGTCTAAAGTTTGGTAGACTAGGTATTCCTGCTTGGCTCCCCATTTAGCTAGACTACATTTAGCTCCCCAATTTGCTGGATTATTTAGTGTTCTTATTGGTGTGGTAGATGCTCTTTCACAGACCCTTATTCCATTTGGACCTCAGTGTGGGTTGACTTTTAAAATCTCTGTTGCTGGGGGGGGCGGGCGGATCTGTTATGTGAATTAGCTCAGACTGTGAGAAATACTGGCATTGTGGCACAAGTAACATTTTGTACTTAGGAATGGTAAGCCTACATATTATTCACTCATATTTGCAAGTCAAAGAGCTGGCTGATTATAATTTAGAAGTTGACTCTGCTGCTTAAACTTCTAAATCACTTTTTCTCTGTAGGAGCTGGATTATGAAGCCAAGGCCAGCTACACCTTGAGAATAGAAGCGGCAAATAAGCAAGTTGATCCTCGTTTTTTAAGCCTTGGGCCCTTCAGTGATATGACAACAGTGAAGATCATTGTGGAGGATGTAGATGAACCGCCTATATTTACCTCACGTTTGTACACTATGGTAGTGTCTGAAGCAGCTAAAGTAGGCACCATCATTGGAACTGTTGCAGCTCATGACCCAGATGCATCTAACAGTCCTGTGAGGTAATTTTGCATTTCATTTCCTACTTTTGCTGCTGCTTATATCTATATCAAAAAAATTTACTGTATTCCCAGATAGAAAAAACACCTTGGGTTGTATCAAACTAAGTTCTTCTCAGAGTTGTTGTTGGCTTCCAGCGTTCTCAAGAAACAATGAAGTATGCCTCCCGGGGTGGAGCCAAACCACTGGAGAATCACAGTGCCTGCTGGGGCTGCAGACACAAGTAACTCACACTGTTTTTGCTTCATTAACAGCACTTTAATGACCTCTTCAGGGTGCAAGTCTTGGGCTGCCCAAATGACAATATTTTCTCCCTCTTGGTCTCACTGATGTGGTCCAAAGAAAAGCAGAGCAATACATTTTGCACCAGCTTGGCTGCAGTAGTCGCCAGAAAGAGGAGTACAAGATGCCATTCAACTGCCTTGGGGACTCTACTCTGGATTTGCGCAGGGTTTACTCTTTAGCCCCTCTTCTCCTAAAGATGCCACGCAGTGCAGCGGATATGGAGTTTCCCTTGGGGTTTACTCCTGAAGCCTTTCTCATTAATGAATATAGTGGAAGTTTAGGATCAGAGTTTTCCTTCTCCTAGATGGGCCACCTTCTCAGGTTGATGAGTCGCATCTGCCCCTCACTTCCCTCTACAGCACATGCAGTAATTGCCTTCTTGAACATTGGGCCCAATATTGGTCTTGTCTTCTCAATCCACCAAACCTGTCTTTGCATGTAGGGGAAGTCTCTAACTCACTGAAGGTTTAAGATCCATCAGCTATACTCTTCTGGTGTAGCTGCTGTCACATATTGACCCCTTCCCTGAGCCACAGGCAAGAGCTGAGTGCAACTCTCCAAAAGTGGACAGACTACTCCAGAAGGAGCATGTCATGTCCCCAGCAGAAGTACTACCACTTCCCTCCCCAGAGTAAACCCACTGGAACTAATAGACCTAAGTTAGACATGCCCATTAATTTCAATGAGTATATTCTTAAGTACAGCTTAGTTAGATACTGCTGAGTATATTTTGTTGTCATTTGGATTGACTTGTCTTGGTATTTTCTGGGTTCAAGACAAAGCTTGGGAAAAGGAACTTTTAAGTTCACTTTGATGTGGAATAGTCTGTGCACTCCCATTATGTATGCATAGGCCGTGCATTGCTTGTGAAAGTCTTTACTCATGTGGAGTTTCACTTTGCTAAGGACCCTTGAGCAGCCAAATCAACATATCACCAATTTGTTACTACGCTGTAGCTGTAAACAGATTTAAATCCTTTGGGGCACAGCATAATACAAATATTTTAAAACATAAATATTCTTTCTACCCTGCAGTATGCGCCCATATAATTACATTTCAGTGATTTTGTTGTATCCCCGTGTTTAAATCGCCTTAGAATATACTCCCCACTCCCAGCACTACACATGAAATCATAACTGGATTATGTAAGGAAAATATTTTGTAGAAGACAAGAAGCCATTATTATCCACAATCCATAGCTTATGTTCCAATTAAATTAATTACGCCAAACGCTTTGCAGAACAAGTTATTTACAGAAAGGAAGCAATGTGTATGCTGGATGCATATCGGATGTGCATTTTGCAGAAATCTGTTCCCAAGCCTCTCTTTACTGGAGGTGCATTCATTTATAAAATTGTATTTTTGTAGCTATTTCCTTGCAATGTAAGTGCTGAAAATGTATTTCAGCATACAAATATTTCTCTCTCTCTCTCTCTCTCTCTCTCACACACACACACACACACACACACTGCTGTTTTTCATATATATGTATATCTCACTCTAGGTTGGTCAAAAAGGGAGCTCTTCAAAATAACTTAATGTGATTCAAAAGTACTGTGAATTTTCATAGAATGTTTATCAAATACTTGTGTAAAAGAGCAAATACAATTGATAGGCCTGAGCTCTGTCTGTTTATAGGGCAGCAGTGCTAACCATGCAGTGTGTTATTGAAGCTAGACTGAAATCCTGTTTAGGTGCCGGGGCTCCCCTTGAAAAATATATGATGAAATAAGAAGAGATCACCTTTTAACACATGAAGTGTGTCCTTTTGTCATCTGGGACTGGGGGAAAGGATGAAAGTTCCAGAGGATTCACAGCTACCAAACTCAAAATGATATGAAGTGCAAGGCCTTTTTATAGCCTTTTTATATGCCTGCCTGCCTTTGTTTAGTCCTGATTAGAATTTCTCCCAAGCTTGGCAGCTTGAAAGAAAGAGAAAATGGGGCAGTACATCTGATAAAACATATTGTTGCCACTATTTGTTTTAGACATCTTACACTTGTTCATTATTTTAGTATATAAGGCCATACTTCTATACAGGTTCCCTAAATTACTCTGCCATAAAGGTTTTTATTGCAGTCCTCCTCATTTTGTTGTCTGTTTGAGAAAATTGAACTACAGCTTTTAAAGTGACTGGCTCCATCACTTAAAAAGCAGATTGAGCCTGTCTAGGAAAAGTGATTTCAAACACCTGTATAGTCAAAGACTCATTGAACAGCCTTGGGAACATTACTATCTCTCTCTCAGCCTTAGCACAGGAATTATAGTAATCTACTTCAGTTTAAGGAAACACCCAGGGTTGTATCCAGTGCTCCATGTGCATTTTTCCACTGGTGCAACTAGACTTCCTTGTCCCTCAGCCTTCAGAGCTGTTTTGATGCTGTTCAGGGGGCTAGAGGGGAAAATGGGAGGAACAGGAAACTCTTCTGCTGGTGGTAGCATCTAGTGAACAGAACCACTCAAAAGTGTGATCCAAAAAGCAAAATTTAGCTTGGATACAGTTTGTTTTATAGGTCTCCCCAAATCAATGGAGCAGGGGTTGAGGGATGTACAAGGGGCTGCAGTGGGAAAGGAAGGGAAGAGAGAAAAATGTTGTGCAAGCTGCCTACACTCATGCTGCTTGAATACAACCCAATGTTATTCGAAGGCTTTAATCAGCTGAATTTTTCTCAAGGAAATATGTCATGCAAACTAATGTTCTCGGAACCGGCTTTTGACTAGCTATGCTGAACAGTGTCAGGGTTAATAGCTAGGAAGCTTGAGAGCTGTCCAGAGATTAAATTCCATCTGCCCAGGCCTGCCAAGAGTGGCTACATTGCAAAGGTGACAGGCGATGTCTCTGGGGGAAGGATGCCAACCATGAAGCTGTTCAAGAGCTGTGCATTGCTGACCAAATACAGCAGTTCAAGCATGAGGGGAAAACAAAATCAGGGAGTTACTAAAATGAAAGCCAAATGAGCATGTCATCAGTGCAGAAACATTCCTAAAGGGTAGGCAATAAAAATAATTGATGCTCTTTGGGTTCATTAAACTGGACCAATTTAGTTAGAGTCACACAAGGGGTCAGATTTTCAAATTTCATCTGCAAGGGTCCTCCAAACCCCCCCAATTTTTTTCCAGGGGTTGCAGAGAGAAGGGGTGGCAGAAAACTCCATTCTGTGATTGTGAATTATGTTCCATTCATGGAAGATACATTAGGATGCAGGCTATTGCCTTCAGTAACTAAAATGCAATGATATTGATATTTTTGTAATATGCAGTTATAGTTTAAAATGTAATTGCTCACTCAGTGAAATCAACAAAAATATTTTGATTGGTTAACAACCCTGCAAATAATTTGTGTCACTCATGTCACTTTCACAAAATTCTAAATGTTCCCACTGGCTCAAAATGGTGGGTGACCCCTGTTGTATATTTGCAAAGCCTTTTTGAGCAATGTGATGGAAAATCCCGCCTTTTCTGTTCTATGAAACAGGAAACCATTGTAGTGGATTACTGCACTAAGAAACAGGATGAAGGCTTGCCATCTGGGAATAATACTGTGAAGTACAAATGTGCAAACTGTCTCATCTTTACAATCAAAATCATCACTGTTTGAGCTATCCATCCTTTTGGTTAAAAGTGAACGAAGACACACACACACACACACACACACACACACACAAAGAGAGGGTTTTTTATTGTTGTCAAAGTACTTCCGAGGAAAGTGGAAGCATTTCATGTGAAGAGAACATAATTTGCAACAGCTTGTCCTTGCCTTTTTTCAAGCAGTGGTATTTGCATCCTTAAGCACACTCCCACAGCATTGTACCTAGTACTGTCAGTAGTTGCTATGGAAGATCTGAACTTTTGCTTTACCTTGATTGGCCAAAGAGGTGAAAATCCTGACCTGCTTATTTCTTTCCAATCAAGCTGTGGAATGCTGTGTGGCCTTTTCAGCTCCCTTCTTCTCCACTGTACATTAATTGACTAAAGTACTCGTATGTGTGTTTTTCAGAGTCTTTTTGCTGGGAACCCTTCTGCAGGTATCTTAAAGTAAAATGTGGATGCTACTCTATTTTGATTTGCTTATGAAGAATCCTAGTTAAATAGTTTCCAGTGCTACTTACACCAGGGCAGGAAAACCTGCCACACGCCAGATATTATTGGACTTCAGTTTTGGTCAGCCTCAATTAGCATGATCAATGAATGGTCATGGATTAGTAGTACAATAAATGTGGAGGGCCACAGGTTCCCTATCCCTGATTTACATCCACATTACAACTACACTTTCCTTTATGTTCATTAATTTGCTTCTCTTCGCCTCCTGCATCATGTAGAGAGATTAATGTGATTGAGAACTCCCTTTCAATGGAAGGTTATCCTTTTGGATGGATGAGTCACTTCCCCACCAACCTCAATCTACCCTCAGCCAACCCTAACCTGCCTACCTTCTGACTTAAAACTGCCTGTTAGCTTTCTCCTCTTAATGTCTCAGTGTTGTCCCTTTTAGAATTCAGCCGGGAGGACGATAGGGGGCAAAACAAGAATCACTTGCTCCAGCTCTGCCTCTCATTGTCTCTGGCTCCTCCTAATGTTCAGTTCTCTGACTTCTACCCTACCAGTCCCAATGGGCATCATCAGCAGGGCTATTAAAAAACAAACAAACTTATTTCATGGCAAGCAGGTGACTTCAGGCTGACATATATTCACTGTCAATCAGCATTCCAGTTAAACACAATCTGGCCTTCTGGTATATTGTGTTATATCAAAGGTGTGTTTCTAATGGATCTAAAAGTACATAGCCAATTTCCAAGAGGATAATTAAACAGTCAACAATGGGCATTTTCTCCCTTTCTCATGGCTTATTTTCTGTCTGAGCTTTTCTCCTCCTTGAAAACAGCTTGGGGGATTCAGGCAAGGCGAGCTTAAGCCAAGGTTGCTCAGTGACAGGAGTCTGTGTTTGTATGATGACAATAAGGCCCCAGGAGCAAATGTAGTAATACGTAATCCCTGACCTACTCTACAGTTTTCTTATTCACCCCATGGGCTTTTCTGCCTGTGACAAAAAGTTCAGTGTCTCACAGTGGAAGCTCTGCTGGGAACCACAGGGAATTGATACAGCCAGGTGGCACAGTTCCAAATCTATTCCACGTTAGGTTGGGTTCAGAAGTAGAGTCTTCCAAAAATAAATGAGTGGTCGACCTAAGAGCAAAAGAGCAGAAATGGAAAGGAAATACCTGTGACCTCAGTTAGGAAGGTATCATGAAATGCAGGAACTGAGCCATCTTTCCTCGACACAGTGAATTTTGCAGAATCAGATGGCTCTATGTAACAAACTCTCTGTGTGCTGTAAGGGCTGTAAGACAGCTGACAACAAAGGAGAAAAGAATCTTGATGAAAAGCTCTTTGAGCTTAATGTGAAATAAATGAAACTTAACACGCACACGCACTGCAATTATACATACATCAAAAGTTTTCTTTCATCTTTCATCCAGGTACTCCATAGATCGAAACACAGACCTGGAGAGATATTTTAATATTGATGCCAACAGTGGGGTGATTACCACTGCGAAGCCGTTGGATAGAGAAACAAACGCTGTTCATAACATCACTGTCTTGGCTATGGAGAGTCGTAAGTTCCCCCTGCAAAGCCATTTTTTAAGCCTTTAAAAGTGTTGGTGAAATGAATCAAGTTGTTCACGAAGAACCTTAAGTGTTGGAAGAGATGCTTTAAGCCATAAACAGTTAACTGTAATGAGTTAAAAGTTAATGCTATTTCATGACAATTCTCTAAGGTTTTTAGGCAGTATCATGTATCATAGAATCCTGATCTTAGAACTATAATGTCTCAAAGAGGGCAGAAACACCCTTAATGTATTTATATATTATTGTTTAATCTTCCATGGGCATCTCCTTGGATTAAAAGAGAGAGGATAGAAATTAAAGAGTTAAATAAATATATGGGGCAGGATTCACCTAGGATTCACCCAGCAGCAGAAGCCCTGTTCAAGGATTTATGCATGCAAAATGGGGTTTTGCCCTATCTCTTTCCACTGCCCCCCTCCAAATTGTCTTGAGGGGTCTGATGAACCCCCAAAATGGGGGGGGGAGAAGAGAGGGATTGTTCCCTCTGGCAACCTGAAGCGTACACGCAAATAGAATGAATGGAAGCATGTGGCTTTGAATTTTACCCATGGTGTTAGAATTGACAGTATATGCAGAAGTAGTCAACAAGGTGCCCATCAGAAGTTTGGAATGCAACTCCCATCAACATGGACCAGGGATGGGAAATATTTAACATATGGCCTAAACTGAGGAACAAATTTGGCCCATGAGGTTACTTCTCAAAAACCACTTCCACCTTACAATCTGCTGATGTCACTCTGATGGGGGATGGGTGGGTCAGGGTTCAATCCTGCATTGGCTGCTTACACCTGTTTCTCGCAGGAGACTTAGGGCACACACAGCAGAAAGTAACCCCTGCTCATCAGTTCATGAGTGATGGTTAATTCCTACTGAGTTTAGCTGTAAGTGTCTATTCCCCTGCTAGGAACAGGTGCATGGAGCCAAAGCACAGCATAAGTCTGTTTGAAAACCCTTTTGCAAACAGTTCCACAATGCATTTTTAAGCTCCACTTTTCATGGGTTTGATGAACAGGCTGCTTGCAAAAGGGCTTTCAAACAGCCTACAGTACCCTCTGAAGTCCTGACAACCAGGGCTTCAAAGCATACTATCACCTGGCATCATAGTTATGCCATGTGATTTACAAGTGGGCTGGCTTGCATGTCTGTCAGATTTGGCCAACAGGATTGGAGAGATAACCATCCAGCCCTTTGGCCAATAAAGTTTTCCCCAGCTGTAATCCAACAACATCTGAATGGCAGAATGTTGTATACCAATTATACAGTATAACAACTTGCAACTGTAGAATTACAGTTTACTTACATTTGTATAACAAGGGTTCATTAATACTGCTAGATTAAGACCCATCATTTGTCATAGATGCATCCATGGTTATACAGGGAAAATAATTACAATTCTCTTAACTGCTGGCAAAAGAAAGGAAATGGAAGGAGCTGGAGAAATTACCCTTCTTTATTCCCTTCCCTGTACCTTTTTCTCATACATTTAATGTAGGCCATGAGGAGAAATAGGACAATGTACTTGAAGAACCATTGGCCTGATCAAGCATGGCAGCCCTTTTCTTCTTTTCAGTTTTGGTTCACTCTTAGTGACAAAAATCCCACTGACAACTTAATTTTGTGGTTCCAGAAATATGGAACATATTTCATAGTTTCAGAATTGGTTCATTATGAATAATAACAACTGGTTCTTGTCCTTTGAAACAGAAAACCCTTCGCAAATTGGGAGGGGATATGTGGCCATCACTATTCTTGACATCAACGACAATGCTCCTGAGTTTGCAATGGATTATGAAACTACTGTCTGTGAAAATGCAGAACCTGGCCAGGTGTGGATTTATATTCCTAACAGCTTGATGATATTTGCTGCACAGCAGTAATTTGATTTGCATTGATGCCTCCTTTAAGATAAAATATAATCAGTTTATTGCAGTAAAAATGACATGTTGATTTGAAGCTAAAATAAACATTAACTAGATATGAAACCATCATCCACGAGCCTGTGAGAAAACTGCACAGGGAAATCTACACTGCATATGATTTTGATCATCCTCTACACTTCCTAATCCATGAAAATAGCAAATTTCCATTCTTCCAGTTAATTTCACTAAAATAGACCTTTTTTAGAGTAAAACTACACTGAGTACCAGCTAGATGCTTTTATGCTCAGATTCCATAAATGGCCTTCTTTCTCATGTGTCCTCAACTGTTGAATGATGAATCTCTCCTAATTCCTTGAATTCCTGGAACATATTAATTCTTTAAGAATTGCTACTGTGTCACATCCTACCAACGTTCTCAATTCAGCTTGAATTTTTTAAAAACTATTATCAGCAGAGGCGTTACCCAATTAAACTGTTCCACCAACACAAGGTTTTTTAGATAAGCAATGAACTTCCCTGCCCTTTCCTTATGCAACTCCTAAATATGTTCTGGCAGTTCTCACAACCTTCTGGATTCAGATTTACATGGCATTCAGGAAGTGTATAGGGAGGATGGGGAGGTTTTATTGTGCAACTAAAACTCCTTGTTCTAGCGGAACTGTTTAGTTGGATATTTCCCCAGGTTTTTATCTGCACGGACACCATTTAAATGACAATGGCTTCCTGTGCCCCCATGCAACATTTCCCCCAATTTAACTCTTTCAGCATCCCTTGTAATCACACACACAAAATTAACAGGGGTGCTATCAAAACAGAAACTCTAAACCAAATTCTAATGAGTGTCTGAATTTTGATGAGTACCTGAATGTAACAAAAACGGACTGTGGGTCACACCACTATATAAAATTTCCTCTCCCTTCTTAGAGCTCTGAGAAATTGCCTTTTATTGAATGCAGACTAAAATATTGCCTTGTATTTAATGCAAACTAAAATCTAACCTGAAGGCAAATCACTTTTCTCTCTAGGCAATTCAAAGAATCAGTGCCATTGACAAAGATGATCCACCTAGTGGTCATCAATTTTCCTTCAGTTTGGCAGGGGAGGCTGCAAATAACCACAACTTTACATTACAAGATAATAAAGGTAAGGTACTGGCTGTGATTGTCAATGTCAACCCAAGGGCATTGTGAGCGTTGACACACCAACACTCTTATTTCTTCAGACAGGCAATACCGACTGTCATCTGGAGTAACTTCACTGTCAGGAAGAACATTAATTAAGAGCAATCAGACCCCAAAGTAATTTTTATCCATAGATTATCTGTCAGGAGAAAGAAGCTGCTGCTTAAATCATTTTAAGCCATGAGCCAAACAGATGGGCTTCAGATCCATTCTTAAACAGACTCTTTTTCACTTTTTGTTTTTATAGGTCTTTATCTAAATTAGATTATACCTCAGGGCAGCAGCTGAAAAATTTCCTGGATCTCATGTTTGATTAATGTAACTCAGGAAATATAGAAATGAGCCCTTAAACACATGGCAAATTGGCCACCTCTTTGAGAAAACAACTTTTTCATCCATATCTTCTGCTGCTAAAAATACTTTTTGGAAACACAAGCTAAAGGTTCCATGTTTCTAGGCTGTTAGTATGATTTAGCTCTCCTACGTGGAACAACATTTTGCTAAAGGGTAGAGATCCTTGCAAAGTTGGAAAGAGCTATTCTTGCTTTATTTATTTATTGTATATTTCATTTGCCCTTAAAGGTGGATGTTGGAAAGAATTCTAGATGAAGTCCTTCAGCTCCCCATCTCAAAACATGAAAAATAAATGCAGCAGATCCTCCACAACAGAAAGCCATTACCCTTTTCTGAAGGGTAACCTTAACTGGTGTGAGGACTGGTAGCGGACATTTCAAAGGAGGAAATCTGTGTCACGTATAATGGTTCAATCAATGCCACTGCAATTTGCAAGTTCCCATTTACAAGTTCTAGAATCTTCTGCATTCCAAAATAAGCATGTAGAAGTTAGGAGGCTTTTCATTGTTTTGTTGCTGTTTGTTGATGACTAGTTTTATTTTTGGGAAATGCTCCCCTCTGTTTCAAGTTTTACAGTTTGTATTAAAAAATACAAATATGCCAATTATGATTTCTCACCGTATTCACAAGTGATGTTTAAGCTTGCACCTCCTCCAGAGAGAAAAGCATATATTGGTTCTGAAATATTAGAACTGGCAGGAGATTTTTAAAGTCAGTTGTCACCTTTTTGTATATTTTTAGTATATACACTGAAATCTTTGTTATTCATTTATTCAAAGATCTTAGGTGTTATCCATTAGCAAAAAGTAAATTATTTGTTGTATCTGTTCATCCGTGAACATCTGAAAAACAATTGGAAATCAGTTGTGACAGCAATTTGTGTTGATTCACATGGTACCTCTGAGAGGAATTTCAAGAGCTGCTAATTTTATTAGGTCTCAAATGCACATCCTTTTAATATACATAGCAAAAGGCAAATATACATGAATTATCTTCAGAATGTGTCATTTATAATGCATTTTTGCTCACTTTACTCCTTGAAAGATGTTAACAGAGATGCATTCATTGAGGATGTTCTCTTGACTACATAGATTTGCACCCTAAGTTTCAGTCTGGACTTCCTTAGTTCCAAGGTTATGTTTTTTTAACAAAGCCATCTGAATTATTATAATAAACAGCCCCATTTTAAGAAACAATCCAATGTTTTAAACCATGAGCCACCAAAGAAAAATACTGTTCTCATCTTCTCCAGCTGATGTGTTGTACACTCAGCTATGTTAGTGTCCTCATGTATGACGCTGATGATATAATTATGGATAATAGCAAGAAGCCTACAGAAAGGGCTATAACTCAGTATTAGAGCACATACTTCACATCAATCAATTTGGCCTTTCCAGGTCAGTGTAGACAAGATTGAGGTAGACCATCTTATAGACCATTCTGTCTTCTTAAGAGCCTTATTTTTCCCTAATTGGTTAGAGAAAATAGAAAGATCTGCTTCACAAAGTTATACGCTAAGGGTGTGTGTGTGTGTTTTTCTTTAAGTGCCAACAGATAAGAAACACGGGAGCAAACAAAGTTCATTAGAACTTAGCCATTACTTGCAAGCACAAGTGAGCTGTCGTTTGCACACACACTTAAGTGCCAGTGCAGATCATGTCTCTCTCTCTGTGTGTGTGTGTATACAATATTTATTTTGTGCTCATCGGTACACAGTTGTATACATATTCTTCCTTGTGCAATTTACTTTGTACCATTCATGCACATTAGATTTCCATCCATTTTAAACCATGAAGTGCTGTACTTTTTAGAGAAACAATTAATTTAAAGCACCTTTAAGAGACCTTTACATTCCTTGACATTAGAATCTTGATATCGTTTTCTGAGAATTTGCACATTTTTGTTTAGATTAGCAGTGGCTTTATTCAAATTCTTAACTGAACGACAAATCCTTTTCTCAGGGTTTGATGAACACATCCCTTCCTACACACACACACACACACACACACACATCAAAACCCTCTACAAAGATAGAGTGGCTAGAGATACTCATGGAAGGCCAAGTGATGTAGTCCTCTTTTTCAAAAAAATAAATAAATGGAAAAAATTGAGTGAAATTTAACATATGAAATGAAGCACTCATGATAAATTTTCCTTTATGGGCTTAGTGGATCAGAACATGTCTCCCTGCTGTTCTCCACATGCACATGGATCCTAGACCAGGATAAGCCAATGATGGTAGACATGAGAACATGAACTTTTAACCTTCCTGTTGTCTTTTCTTGATCCCCTCTATTAAGATTGCACCTTGCATTTACAAGGCCTGTCATCAGGCAATGTGGAAGACTTGCCGCAGCTTGACTAGGGAATTAGGCAAGGAGACATGGAACTGCATTAAACAAGGGATACCTATGAAGGGATAGCTATGAAGGACCCAAGGTGGGCTAACCTTCAGCCCTTCCCAGGGCTTGTTCTTTGCAGTCTCAGGTTGTAAAGACTGCAAGCTTGTTGCTATTGGTAAGGGTAAAACAACGGGCATAATAAATTGATATGTATTTTAAAAAGGCACAGAATATTTCTTGAAGAAATCCTGTCAGTTTCACTCTTTGTCTTTGCCTCGGTCCAGATAACACGGCATCTATTCTAACCAGAAGAAATGGATTCCGGAGGCAGGAGCAGTCAGTTTACTATTTGCCAGTATTTATTGTGGACAGTGGCTCTCCTTCACTGAGCAGCACCAATACACTCACTATCCGGGTGTGTGACTGTGACGCAGATGGCATTGCCCAAACATGCAATGCAGAGGCCTACATCTTGCCAGCAGGACTTAGCACCGGGGCACTCATAGCGATACTGGCTTGTGTTCTGACATTGCTAGGTATGTCTTTGGGGTTTGTTCCCTGGAGAGGGACAGTTTTCCTTCAGAACAAATGCAATTCCTTTACTTATATGTGTTTGCAATTGCTTGGGCGGGGATCAAATAAAATGTGTTTATTTATTATGATATTTGTATACTGCCTGTAATGTGGCCATCTCGGGGTTGTGTACAATAGATCATGAAATAGAATACAGAAACCAAAATGCAAATAAACTCACTAAATACAAGAAGTAACAATCAAGAGTTAGAAAAGGAAACGGAAACCTTAAAGGTTCTACAGTGGGAGGCAGTGGATCAGGCCAATTCCCATCTAGTCCAGCATCCTGTTCTCACTGTTCAACCAGATACAGCAGTACCTTGGTTGGCGAACTTAATCTGTTCCAGGAGTCTGTTCGACAACCAAGGCATGGCTTCCGATTGGCTGTAGGAGCTTTCTGCACTCAATCGGAAGATGTGGAAGCCGCATCGGACATTTGGCTTCTGAAAAACGTTCACAAACTGGAACACTCACTTCTGGGTTTGCAGCATTCGGGAGTCAAAAAGTCTGAGTACCAAGGCATTCAACAACCAAGGTATGACTGTCCCTGTGGGAAACTTGCAGGCAGAACCTGAGTGCAAGAGGACTTTCACCTCCTGCAGTTTCCAGCAACTGATATTCAGATATATAGCCATCATGACATCAGTAGCTAGCATGAACAGAAATGTTTTCAGAATGTGTTGAAATTTTGCTAATATTGACATGTGACTTATTTCTGAGGGGAAACCCTTCTTGAGAGTGAGTGCCACCACAGATAAGGCCTTTGGGGCTTCTCATATCTAGGTACTGACCAACCAAGACTTACTTAATTTCAGTAGATGAAACTGCATCACATCTTCAATTCTCTAAAGTAATTAGTTTCTGTCATGTCAGCCACACTTAAGACACATTTGTTTAGTCCGACACAAGATGTACAGCATGGGTAGGCAAACTAAGGCTTGGGGGCCAGATTCAGCCCAATCGCCTTCTCAATCTGGCCCGCAGATGGTAGAGGAACCAGCGTGTTTTTACATAAGTAGAATGTGTGCTTTTATTTAAAATGCACCTCTGGGTTATTTGTGGGCATAGGAATTCGTTCTCCCCCCCAAAAATATATATATATATATATAGTCCGGCTCCCCACAAGGTCTGAGGGACAGTGCACTGGCCCCCTGTTGAAAATGTTTGTTGACCCCTGATATAAAGGATAAGAACTGCAGCCTTAAAGCCTAACCCGCAACCTTAGGTTTATATATACCAAATCTTATACAGTGGTACCTCTAGTTACAAACTTACGATAATTCGTTCCAGAGGTCCATTATTAACCTGAAACTGTTCTTAACTAGAGGCGTGCTTTCGCTAATGGGGGCCTCTTGCTGCTGCTGCGCCGCCGGCACACGGTTTCCGTTCTCATCCTGGGGCAAAATTCTCAACTCAAGGTAACTCTTCCAGGTTAGAGGAATTTGTAACCTGAGGCGTTTGTAACCTGAGGCATTTGTAACTCGAGGTACCACTGTATATAGATTTGGTAACACTGAAAGTAGCGTTACTTCTACCTTTCCAGAAGGTGTTCAGTCTCTTGATTATGCATTTGCAGCCTGGAATCTGTGATGGTTACAGACTCACACCTGGAATAAGCTCAGAGGCACAGATACATTTATATTCTCACAATCACCTCAGATTAGAAGCACCAATTCACAAGTAAAAAATGGCACTGGAGACTGGGGGGGGGGGGAGCACCTTTTCTAAAGCCTAATCTATAAAAATCTCTGAACTGTGATAGCATTTTTTAAATCATTGCTTGGCACCTTACTTGAGTGCATATGGCAGTTAGGACTTGGCACAGTCCTGGCACCTTCTAGGCAAATAATGATCATGCAAGAATTGCCAGAACTTCACATTTCTCTGAAGCAGTTTTTTCATCATTATTACCATGTGTATAGATCATTGTCTGTAGTAGACACACACTGGTTCACACTTCACATTAATGCACAGTAAAAAAAATTCCTATGCTTTCATGTGAATGAGCAATGTGTGGTTGCCTGCTGCTGAAATCACAGTTACTTCACTCTTTCCTGACTACTTTGTCTGGCTTGTACAAACTGAGCTCATGGTTTGTTTTGGGAAAACAAACCACAAACACTAAGCAATTTTTGGCTTCTTGTGGTTTGTGTGGAGAGAAACCCTGGTTTTGGACAACTCAACATGCCAGATCATGCCTTGTTTCCTGGCAGCAGTGGAAGAGCAAAGCACCGACAATTACCAGCATGCTTTTCATTCATATTAAACCATAGTTTAAGTATGGTTCAACGAGATGTGCAAACCAGGCCACTTTATAAGTGAGCTACATTTGCAAGCAACTTTTTTTAAAGGCTAGAATTGTTCCTGTTTTTGTAAAGGAGATGATTTATATCCTCTGTCAAGTAGGTGCATTTATTTTAACTTTTAAAGTTCAGATATACATAGCTCAAGTCAAGCTATGATAAGGAGTGTAACAAACAGTGCTGGGAGCAGTGAGGTCTCTTTAATCAGGCACAACTTACACATGGGAAATGCAGGCAGAAAACTGGATTAGTGAACAATAATGGACATAGTCTAGTAGTCATAGGCTTATAATGCCCAAGCCTTCACATGTCTGCTCAAAAGTAAGATTTATTGAGTTAAATGTAGCTTACCCCAGATAAGTGAGTACAGTGGACACTTGGGTTGCGAATGTGATCCATGCGGGAAGCACGTTTGCAACCCGCAGCACTGCATCTGCGCACGTACGGGTCACGATTTGGCGCTTCTGCGCATGCACAAGCCCCGAAACCTGGAAGTAACCCATTCCGGTACTTCCGGGTTCGGCGCAATGCGCAACCCGAAATCGCACAACCAGAAGCGTCTGTAACCCGAGGTATGACTGTATAGGAATACAGCCAAACATAAGCTTATTACCACTTGTGTATGTGTCCAAAACCCCTTAATAAATATAGCTGGCAAATGTTAGATTATTGAGTATATAACTGAAGCATCAACATGTATTTCCATTTGTCCCAAAATATTAATGAGTACGAAAATACCATAGAGCATATGAAACAGATACATACACGTGTTTCTTTCATGTAACATTGTTTTTTCAAACAGCATAATATTTCAGGTGAGTAGGTAAAACTTAAAAAGAATTCAGTAGCGAATATTATAATTTTGACATGCCTTGATATTTAATTGGATTTCTGTTCATTTATGTTTCTTAAAACTTTACCATCTATTGAGAAATGTCTATGTGACAGAATTTGAACCTAGTAGGGAACCAAGTGCAGTAACTGCTAGTGCAAAATACCGATCCATCCATCATTTTGCATTTGGCTGTGCTTGTCAGAATTGACACATTCTTCATCTATGGATTCTGGTTTCCAACCTAGGCCTCCTGTGGTTCAGGTGTCTTAGGAACAGACAGGTAGAGTTTTCTAGCAAAAGTATGAGATTCAAAGACGACAGTGTTTTATTCAGGAAGTGACATTGCCCATGACAAGAAATGACATATGTGAAGACTAAGCTCTCCAGACAACCTTTCAGACTGTTAAAACTGCAAAAACAGCTTCCATAGTTTACATGCAATGCTCTCCATATTCCAAGTGTCACAGAAAAGAGCATTTCAAGCTAAACCGAACTTTGCTCAGAATTACTGGGAGTTTTAAATCAACTTGGCAGAATACAAATTGTTAGATGAAGAACAAACTTTATGCCACAAATATTTCTGAATTATTCTCTACCTAGCTGTTGCCTGATTTAGAGCAGTGTTCAGAAAGACATCTTGGAGTCCAATTCCATTCATTTTTACTTGGAAGTATGAGTCGAACTTAATTTAACAATCACAGAAGTATCAATTGCAGTATCTGTTTAAGTAAATTATAGCTGTGGGTTGCCTAATTTGACCAGACTGGCAGGAGGTTCTTAACCCTTTTCCCCCTGTACTGATACACCATGGGGTTTCTTCTCTCTGCACTCCTCCCAGCGGTCATTCCTCCTCTGGTCACTGCTATGGATACATAACCTTACTGTCAGGGACTTAATATTTTAAATAATCATTCTAATCCCAGAAATTTACTAAGGATAATATCCAACTAAGTCTAACTTAGGTCTGACATACTGAAATAATGGGCTTTATTGATTTAAATGGATCTGTTCTGAGTATGATTTGTCTACTTGTTTCATATCTCTCCTTCCCCCCCCCCCCATTTTTGGCAAAAAAAGGAAAGCTAATAGATAAAAAAGAAAAAGAAAGAGGAAAGCTAAAAATATGTCACAGGCCAAAATTGCCTGATTCTACCCTTTCAACAGAGAGGAAGTATTTCACAATGCACCTCTCCGTTACTCTTTTAAAAATCTGGATGTATACCCCATAACTCATAATGGGCAACCTTTGCTTGTTAAATACTGTTCAACCTCTATTCCTTATTTGTAAAACAATAAATAAAAGGGAGCTGCTGTCCGCATTACGCAGTATGAGGTGAGAGACTGAAGTGGTAAAATTCCAGTCTGCACCTTTACAGGCTAAGGATAGAGTGTCACACTGTGAATTTTTCCCCATGTTAAAAAAATATCGCTGCAAGTAGCAAACATGCACAGGAGTGGTTTAATGTATTCCTGTCCCTAATGGGACCATGCTACTACATTTGGGGAGCTTTTTATATGGGAAAATGATTTTTTTTAATTAAACAAATTACACAGACTGAATTGGTACTGTCCATCATTCTCCTTCCTGAGTCTTTTACTTCATTTTTTTCATTTAGACAGGCACCACCTCTCAGATCCAAATAGCCCTGTTGTTATTGGAAGCCTTTAAGGCAATCTGTACATATGAAGCATATTGTATTCTAACTCTTGTCAGCTGTGATGTTGTTTTTTAAAAAAAAATGGGGGGGGAGAGTAAAGATAAAAAAAATACATGATTGTAGCTTATAAAAAGCACAAGAAAATCATCTTGCTGGGTGTCATTATTTTTATACTGTACATAATTCCTTAAAGAAATAAGTGAGGAAAATCTTCAATGCCTCTGAGAATTATATGGCAATTGCGGTGTAATTTCCCCCCAGTTAACATCACAGACACACAATAGTAATTGCTTTTATAATAACTGTTTAACATAATCGTAACGATCATTTTGTGCCCCCTCAGACATGTACAACTGTTTCTCAAACTCAAAAGGTTTTTCCTGTGCTTCAGTTAGGCACGGGAATGTTATTGATAAGCCAAAACCTTTTTCCTCATCTGATGTATCAATGGCACATAGGAGCACTGGTGTGCACAGGGGAAGTCCCCTTTATGGCCCACAAGAAAGTGTCCTAATAGCCATTTTCATTTCCCCGTAACATTTCCCTCCACATAAGATTGTTTGTATACTGCCTTTCAGCCTCCAAAAGGCCCCAAGACAATTGACAATGTTAAAATAGCATTTAGAGGGGGAAGCCAAGAACGCATTTAAAAAATCCATAGACAAATGAGAATTCAAACCATTCAAAGCTGTGCAGAATGAAGAGGCTTAACTACCTGGACGTAGTCAGTGAAGAGGCCTCCCAAGTTGCATGCAAATAATGAGCATGTTTGTGTGGAAGAAGGTGGTCCTTCAAAGCTGGCATTGCCCCTAATATAAATAAAGAAACAAAAATAAACATGAATCCGCTACTTTTTGGTGGAAACAGCACAGTCACCTGGAATGTGTTGGAGGATCACACAGAGAGTGCAGCATTTCTGGTAATTGCACTTTAAGAGTCTTAATTGCCTTCCTCTTGAACCTTGCCAAACTCAAACCTGAACTTTAGAAACCATGTATGTTCAGCCTGGCTTTTGGTACCAGAGGTGGGTGTACTAGCCTCCCTGCTGGTGTCACTTCATCAACCAAACTCATAACATTCATTTTGGCTGGAGTGTACTCTTACTTTGTACTCATTTCATAGATTGTATGGGTTGTTCCAGGGCAGAGATGGCAGCCATGTTCTTCCTAGCCAAGCTAATAAGATTGCTATGCTCAGTCTCAAGGGAGATGCAAGCTCTACTGGCTCCGTAATTCTCCCCAGTCTGGATTGAAACAAGCTGGAGAATAATAGTCAACTTCACCTATACAAACTTTACTGGGAGTACGGATGGGGAAGAAATTTGATTCAGTTAGTGTTTAAAGGCAAACTACCTAATTTGCACCTTCTGTGGGTCAGCAAACTTTTTCAGCAGGTCCACTGTCCCTCAGACCTTGTGGGGGGCCGGACTATATTTTTTGGGGGGGAAATGAATGAATTCCTATGCCCCACAAATAACCCAGAGATGCATTTTAAATAAAAGCACACATTCTACTCATGTAAAAACATGCTGATTCCCGGACCGTCCATGGGCTCAATTTAGAAGGCGATTGGGCCGGATCCGGCCCCTGGGCCTTAGTTTGCCTACCCATGCAGTATGTGTACAAAATGCTTATGCTAAAATGTGCACAAAATGCATCTATTGGGGAAAATTGCATACAAAAATGTGTATGTTAGGAGACACTAAAATGCTGATGAATTTTCATAAGGACTTTTTTAAAAAAAATGTAAACTGATGTGGAAATATGGATAATTGAACTTAAGAGTGAATAAATGGGGAACTGAAATTGATTGAAATGTGGAGAACTGTACTTAAGAGTGGGAAAATAACAAACTTAGAGCAACTGAAATTATCAGATTCACCCATTCCTACCTGAGAATAAGCCCTATATGATGCAATGGGACTTACTTCTGATTAAACACAGAACTGTAGAATGGTAGAGTACAATGCAGGAATATTCGCCCAATGTGGGGCTCAAACTCCATGACCCTGAGATTGAGTCTCATGCTCCATCAACTGAGCTACTCTAAACATGCATAGGAATTCTCTCTCAATTCCAGAGAGGAAAAGTAAATGACTTAAGGACCCAATCTGGGGAATGAAGAGGGGGTTTATTTTCTGCTGAGGATAATTTGGGGAATAATCTCACCATTGTTGGGGCCCAATATATGGTGGGGGAACAGCACTCAATGCTGATCCATAGCATAGGGCCCAATCCAAGGGTGGGTACCCTGCCAAAGGTAAGTAGACAATAAACATATCTACCCTTTGATTGGGCTCCTGCTGTGCTCCCCCATACAAACCAATGGAGTGCCTTCAGATTTATTCACTTGCTATAGAGAAGGAAACCTTGCAAGAAGATTGGCAGGCAATTTTTTGGATTTCCTCTGTGGTTGGTTCAGAAAAATTAACTTAGGTCTTCTGATTTGGGGGGGGGGGGTGTCATAAAATTTTGGGGTTAATCCAAGGCAGGTTTAGGAGTGCTCAGTCATCTATTTTAAAATATGTGGCTTAGTGGGGATGTGCTATATGCTTGTAGCAATGGTAGATTTTCAGTTTTGAAGCCTGGAGGTTGTGGTTATAAGTAAGACTAACGAACAGTCCTGAAAATTAGCCTTTCTGGCCATTCAACTAGACACTGATTATTGCCATGAAGTTGTTGAGATTCCCCTCCCTTTCTCCTTCAGTATCTCTCCTAAAGCAGTTCCCGTTGAAATCCAACTGTTCTTGCACTGGAATTCAGCACTAACTGGTTTTGCAGGCAGCGAGTGCCATGACTCTTGCAGAGTCGCTAAAGTGGGATTTATTCATGCAGAGGTTAAAAATTATTGTTCAGGAGCAGTTGGAGTGATTAGAAATTAATATTCTCTTAAAGCCATTTAAATGCTAAAATGTTTAACCTTTCAAAGGACTTCATATTTTTCTTGGCTTCAAGCAATCGTGGGCTGTGTGAGGCATAACCACATAAAACATTCATTTTATCGTGATTTTTATTGTACCTCTAGGCTGGCAGATCTACTAAGTTTCATATATTTTGCACTTATTAGCAGGTATTTAACTCCCCAGATGAAGTCTGCTGAACATGTCATAGTGTGAAAACACATTTTCACTGGAGCAAAGAAAAGATTAACTGCTCAATACATGGCTGTAGTACCATCCTAGTGTGGTCAAAAGTAATTCTTTTAAAAGAGAAAAGAGACGAGCTTCATCAATGGGCTCTTCATTTGAATCTTATTACTATCCTCAATATTTTATTTCATAAAATTGTAGGGCTAAGTCCTGAAATCTTTCCAGTTTAATGACTTTATAGTTCTTACCTTGCGTTTGTGCTCATTATCAGCCTATGAAATTGGCCACAATAAGATTGCCACTTGCCAAAGGTGACTGATTTTCACAGCTTTGAAAACCAGCCTTCTAGATTCACAGTGTGTTCTGCTACAGACTTTTCCACACCACAGAACAAGTCTTCCAAAGCCCACTTTCAATATTATCCCCACGTCTTATTTCTTCAGCTCATTTATATGCCACCTTTCATTACAAACAGTATCATGACAATTAGCCATGCAATAAAAGAATAAAATAAAATGTACAGTGGTGGCATCCAAGAATTGTTTAAAAGCTCATTGCCTGGGAACACCTGAGCAAATAGGTAGGTTTTCAGCAGTAGACAAAACAGCAAATAATTGGTGCCTGATGCTGGTTAGCTAGTTGCAGTCTTAAAGAGGAGGACTGCAGTATGTTAGTTGCAGGTCCCACTTGTTAATGTGCCTACATAGTACCTTTCCCTATACTCAGAGCAGAAATTTAGCCATCTAAGAAGAGAAACATGGAAGAGGCACCCTACTCAACCTCACTGTATACCACTGTTAAAGGTAGTATACATTTGAAAATTAGAATACGTCAAAACGTTTTCATTTATGTGTTATTGTGCTAATGTAGCCACTGAGTTAAATTGCATACTTAAAACATCATTTTAGAAGAGAGGTATTTTCTGCAACTTATAGTTCTGCAGCTATTGTTGTTGCAAACAACCAATAAGCCATCACAATTTATGAGAAAACAGTTAAGGTATCTCTACTGTGATGCATATTGGACCCTCCAGCTCTGTTTAAGGACTTACGGAACTTGGACTGTAGGTTCCTTCCAGTAGGTTATATTGCTTATTGAAGGCAAATAAAACAATTTATATCCTTTGTTTTTAAAATAAAACAACAAATAGATGAGCTACCCTTAAAACAATGTGCATGTGTTATCTGGAACTGAAATGATGTCTTTGCTTGATTTATGAACAACGTTGGTTGCAAATGATGATAAATGTATGATACAGCTTAGTATGATTATCTCTATCTATCTATCATCTATCTATCTATCTATCTATCTATCTATCATCTATCCATCTATCTGGGTTATTAAGTGTTATACAAGTCATGCTAAGTGCAGGCCTATTGAAATCCATCAACTTCCATTGGTTTAAATGGGCCTACTCTGCATGTGGCTAACTCTGGAGATCACCCATCATCATTAGAGTATGGTCACATCTTACGTGCATTTAACTTACACAATTTCAACCATACGCAATTGCAGGCTGCGGGTTGAAATCCTACAAGTTAAATGCAAGCAAGGATGAAAGCTTAAAAACGTTTTTTTTTTTTTCCCTGCCAGATTTTCCTGGCACAAAAATAACTTTTAAGCTCTCTCCTTTGCTTGGGAAGCAATGCCCTCTCCACACTCTGACTCTCAAGACTTAAATGTTGACTAGTCTTTGACTGTTTCCACAAATGCTCATCTTGGCACTAAAGCCAACAAGAAATCCTCTTAAGCTTCAGAAACAGCAAAATTATTACATCTTCATATCATAGGCCTGATCTAATAAATGCCAGCAGCCTTTGCAGTTCTCATCAGAAATAATTCACAGGTACACGGTGCCGTACTCTGCATTAAAGGAAAGTGTTATCTATTAGAGAGATGCTTTTAATGCACAAACGGAGACTTATGTTAGACATTATTTAACAACCCTGAATTTCCCAATCAAGGATCGAATACTTCATCAGGCAGCCTGTCGTCATATACTTCAATAATGGAGTCACTTCCCAAAGTCTGACAGTTAAATTACACATGGTATGTTTATGAATGTGCTTTTATCACCTGAGCAATTAAGAGTTCAGAAGAAGGTCTCTTTTTATTGCATGGCTGTGAGGTTGTAATATTCGGCCCGAGCTGGCTCTGGAAATTTATGTTTTGGCAGCCAGTGTAGTATACAGAATTACATATGAAGATGTTAAATCAGGATGAGGGTGGCAATAAATTGTTTAATGTCTGAAAGCCCTTGGTCTAAAAGCCATTTTAGAACTTGTTAGCAAATTTAAAAACTGACTGTATGGTATGACCACCATAGTGTGTGAGCGGTTCTCTTATGCATAATTTAGAAATAGCTCCGTTGGTAAGTAAAATCTTAATGAATGGATAAAGTTCAGTATATGTCTTCGCTAAATGTATCGCCTCTTGCATTGCAGTGCTTGTCCTACTCATTGTTACAATGAGACGACGGAAAAAGGAGCCCCTTGTTTTCGATGAAGAGAGGGATATCAGGGAAAACATAGTCAGATATGATGATGAGGGAGGCGGAGAGGAAGACACCGAGGCCTTTGATATGGCTGCCTTGAGGAACCTCAACATCATCCGAGACACCAAAACGAGGAGGGATGTAACGCCAGAGATCCAGTTCTTGAGTAGACCATCCTTTAAAAGCATCCCGGATAACGTCATTTTTCGGGAATTTATTTGGGAAAGACTAAAAGAGGCTGATGTGGATCCTTGTGCTCCACCGTATGATTCCCTGCAGACATACGCATTTGAGGGAAATGGTTCAGTGGCTGAGTCACTCAGCTCTTTAGATTCTATCAGTTCAAACTCAGATCAGAATTATGATTACCTCAGTGACTGGGGGCCTCGTTTTAAACGGCTTGCAGACATGTATGGAACTGGACCAGAAAATTTGTATTCATAGCCTTTGAACCTTTCTATGACAATGCACTAAAGAAAAAGAAAATAAAAACTCAATATCTGGGACTAAGGAAAATCTGTAAATATTTCTCCATTTTTAACCTTTGGGGTTTCTTTTTGCCTTGGTGAAGCATATCTTCATTAGAACTTTGTCCTAGGGACTGCACTGAACACACACAGATTCTGAGCATCCAATGGCATTTTTTTTTATAACATTAAGATGCTCGGGCATGTGCAAATAGATAGCAACCCTCGTATACCTGCAGAGGCAACCAACCTCTAAGAGTAAGTAACGCACTGTGACCTCAATGAGCCAATGATATCCTGTAGATGCCTTCGCAGTACTGCTGGGTCTAGACTGCAGAGTCTTTGCTTAGTGGAGAGAAGGGGGAAATCATTTACTACGTACAATGTTAATACAATATATTGTCTACTACTGATGCAAAGTTCTTTTATTTACAGTGTTGCATGCAGTTTGCTGGCTCAGAAACAAATCCAACACAATGACTTTTTAAAATGTTGGTCTTAAAAGCTATTTAGTCCAAAACCTCTGTAAATATCTGGGTGACTCTAAAAATAGATTGCAATTCCTGTTATGAAAATCTGCAACATGTGCCATTGCCTTATCAAAATTGTTTCCAGGATATGTCAAATCAGAGATCTGGAAAGTGATTACCACAGTTTTGTGATGCCTATGTAGGTATGGGGGGGAATTGCTGTCTATTTACAGGTTTTTTTTAATTATCCTTACCTCTTCTGATTAGTACAGGAGAACTTATCCTTTCTTCATTTTTTTATTTGTTTTTAAATAAAACATTGATGTGTAAAGTTATGTTTATTTTGGAGCTCCAGTCTCCATCACATTCAGGTTTATTATACTGCATCATGGTATTAGGTGCTTGGGAACATGCTGTTTTTTCCTCCAGTCTCAGCTACATGAAGGAAATGAAGCATGGAAATAGAGAAATTACAGTGAAGCAATTGAGTCCCTCGTTCATCTCTCTGAGAGGAACACTGCTACAAGGACACACCACTGTCATTGTTCTTCTGAGCCATTACAATGTCTAAGATATTTGAATAAAATGTTTGTACTTTGCATTTTCAAAAGGAGACTACAGAGGCAGTCGGGAGTGTCTCTAATGCAAGTTGTAGCTTTCAAGGTCATCCATTCTATGAGCTCCAGCGATTTAAACAAACCTGCACCTTCCATCAAGTTTGCTACCTCTTTTGCTGCTGCGGAATCACAGCAAAAGACTCGGCAGCAAAAGACTCTTTTACATTTCTTTCATATGTTAAGCAGTGTGATACGATTAGCACCAGAATCCATCTTCAGATCCTGACGCACACAAGTATTTCCCCCCCAGGGAGTTAACTTCATAACACATCATCTCTATGCTGGTTCAGGTGTGCCAAACTCGAAGGATGATTGCAGTCGGTTAAAATAATGTTGGATTTTTTGAACTAGAATTTATTAGACTATGACAAGTTTTTATGATTCAGGCAATATTTATATTTTAGCTGTCCTGATTTATTACTAGCAAATAGGACATGGATTCAAGTAGAATAGCGCTTTATTTTAATAGTCTTTTCCTATTTTCGTCTTTCTCACACTTACCCCTTTGTTTTTCTGAAGATTGCTTTTGAGTTCCTGAATAAGGCTCAGTCCTGAAAACATTAACCCCTCCATGCTTGGTTTTCAAGACTTGCTCCAAAACTGAATAGTGCTGGAATTTAAGGGTTTGCAGGACTAGGACTAGGACTAGCCATGTGCTGAAACCTGTCCTCCATTGCTCAATAGATTTAGCCCCCTGTGAGAAAGGTTCTGTTTTTTTCTGCCTTTTTCTCATTGTGCTTGCAAATTGCTTCAGATTTTTTCCCCATAATTTTGGTGGGTGTGAGACAGAGCTTACTTTATTGTGAGGTGGCCAGGTGGTGTGTGTGTGTGTGTTTTCTTCTTTTAATTTCCAGTAAACATTTCTCCTCAGTACTCTGCCGCCTCCCTGGCTACCTGCAGTTCCTGACTTGAAAAAGTCCTTGGAAGAAGTTTGTGTCGCAATGTCTTCCCTTGAGTCCTTAGAGCCAGGGAAGCTAGCTACTAAATGGCTAATTTTGTTTCTAAGGGTATCTTTCCTTTTACCAAACACTTCACAGCAAAACCACTGTCAGGTGGGCTCCACCATCCTGTGCTTACAAGAAAGCCAAGCTGAGGGGTTTTCAGGGAAGGCTGCAGAATGCACACCATTGAGTGGTGATTTATAGAATGAATGAAAGAACACACAAATACCACTTGGTAACTTTGAAAATAAGGTAAGCACACCGCCCACAAGAATTTCACATATTTTTCTCTCTTCTTTGATAAATTTTGATTCCAAAGTCTTTTTGCATTAATTGATGGAGTTGGGGGAGAGGGACAGAAGAAATTATTGGTGGTACTCACTAAGCCTGATTTGGGGGAAAATAGGGGCAGGGTTCTCAGAATCTGTTACCGTGAGCCTCCCTGAGTCAGGATGCGAATGGTTTTTGATCATTCCCAAACTTTGTAACTTACACAAAACAAATTATCTGCATGAGCTGCCTTTTGTCCTAGGCAGAAAAAGATCTGTAAAAAGCTACACCAGGAAAAGGGTCATAGCTCCTCCTAATGTGCTTTGAAGCATTACAGATGAATGGATGTCCTTTAAAATGTAAGCAGCTTCTCACATCTGAAAGCCATCGGCCCCCAACACAGTCTTCCAGTTACCTAGCTGGAGTGCTTTACAAGTTCACAGTCTGCCAACTGATCACATACATAGCTGAGACAGGCTGCTGTTAGGGTGAAGTTTGTGCCTTCCCTAGCAACTACTAGCACCACCATAGGGAGGCCCACCTGACATTCTGAGAACCTATCCTATAGAAGGTAGTGCTCAATCTGAATTTGTTCCTTTTGAAAAAGGACTCTTGTAGGAAGGAAAAACTAACACAATGGATGGAGGAATTTCCTTAAGGCTCTGTAATTCTTGCAGCTCAGCATTGTCAATGAACTACATGAAAGTGGCCTTCAGCTTCATCAAAAGAATAAAATTTGTTCATGCACAACACAATTCTTTACCTTGGGTAACTTTTTTGTAGACAATCATTGTTTCATGATTCAGTAGACTTTGCTTCTAATATATATATATATATATATATATATATATATAATGTACTGATTTTGTAATGGAACTCAAAAATATTGTCCTTGACTTTTAGTCACATATGTAAGATTTCCAATAAAAAAGTTTTAAACAATGTCTAGCGTATGAACCTCAATTAGAAGTTGGGCTGCAGGAGTTTTGTAGTTGTTGCACAATAAGGTTTCATAGAAAATTCTTGAAGAAGATTCTCCTTGCAGCTTGAAAATACTGCAGTTCAAGGCCAGGATCCAAAGACTTGCGCATTTAGCTCTCAAAGCCGATGGTAGCTTTTGGTTTCCATTTCTCAAACGTCATGTCACCTGCCAAATTACTTTTTAAACTAAAGAATTTGTGATATTTATAGAATAAAGTAAATAAATGCTATGGAGCCCTTTGAGAGACATGGGCCACTTTGGCTTCTAAATAGGACTTTTAAGTAGACGTGCATTTGATTGCACTGCTAAAGTGTCTCTGCAGATCCTGGCCCCTATATTTGCATTTAAATAATGAAGTGTTGATGTCATAAATCACTCAAAACAACTGTAGTCCACATACATGTTTCTCTCTTTATATGTATATATCTGTATAATATCCTTTTTTCAAAGATATAAAGTGCATTGTTACCTAATCCATGCCATGAACACGATTCCATTCATCTACTGTTCTTCACAATAAGTCTCATCAGTTGCAAATGTTAAGGTCAAAACAATATTATTCCTTCCTTTAAGTCCAGTACAGAGACCCAAGAGTGTTCAGATCATACACATATAGTTCCCCCACTCATTTCAATTGGGGCACTCTGCCCAAATATTCCTTTGCATTTCTACTGAAACAAATGGACAATCCCTCACAACTGAGGAACCTCAATGTGGACATGAGAGTTCAGGAACACATAAGTCATTACTTGACCAGGGTGCTTGATTGCAATATCTATATATATAATGTTCCTTTATTATTATTATTATTATTATTATTATTATTATTTTATACCCCGCCCATCTGGCTGAGTTTCCCCAGCCACTCTGAGCAGCTAATCTGGTGGCAAATGTTCCTATGATTTAAATTGGTCAGGAGAGTTGTGAATGATCTTTGTTTCAAGATATTTTTTTATTGTTAGATATTTCTGTTGATTCCACAGAATGAGAGACACACATTAAGTCAGCAGAGACATTAATATTGGAACAGAACATTTTGATGTGAGCATGAGTAAATTCAAGAATGTGGACATGTTTAGCTAACAATTATTGATTCACATTTGATGCCACATTTCCTAGTTTGCTGTATATTTTAATGTGTTGATATACTGCACTGTTAACTTTGGCTGTAAATCACTTCAGGCTCCATGTACATAATCCAATTTCTTGCCTAATCCTAAAAACCTGGCCTATCGGCATATAATATAAATAAGCAATGTACTAGCAGGTGCTCTACCATTGCATTACTTTGGTGTCTCAAGCTGCAGACCAAATGGAAGTATCTTATATTGCTAATATATTGTTTGGTTCTTAAGACCTGTTTGCTGAGAGGATTTTGATTCCACATGCTTCCTTCCATAAAAAGGTATTGTGTGGGCAGTGACAGGCAGAGTTGCACTTCCACGTATATAATAATCAGTAGTAACCTACATGTTATTGGTACAAACCACTATTCTTATCATGTTCCAAGCCTAATCAAAAACTTTCGCTGTCTACCATGTGTTCTGCCCCAATTTATAAATGCTCAGCAAAGCCAAACCTTAGAACCTTTTGAGGTTCATTACTTGTAACATGGTGTCTTCATTATCTTTTATAATGTCTGTTTTATCTGGGTGCATAACAAGGGGAGAAAGATGTAGAAGAAGCAAAAGTGAATC